GTAATGCTGATTGCGCAGTACAATTTCTGAACAGCCTTCTTGAAAATGAGGTTTGGCACAGTTTCGAAAAACTTGATTTAGCCCCTTCCGGCTACCGCTATATGAAATGGTTTGTATGTCTCTTGTGTACTCACAACCCGGTTTTGATGGAATTTGATGGACCGGTGATAATCAAGCATGAAGCGGAATGCACAATCCATACGCAGCTGCCGCAAAATGGGCAACACAGGTAACCCAGGCAACCCTGCTCTTGCAGCAGCCGCTCTCCATTCCGCACCTGTTAAGCGGCTGGCGCGAGATGCTGTTAGATGCATATTGACGTAGTGAAACCTCAAAGGGTGGAAGCTGTGAACAAAATTTTATCTTCGCAAGTCCTTCGCGTGATTGTGTTAGAGTATTTTTAGCGCTGAGATTTGGATTGCTTGAGGTAATAATGTCCTATCATCAGCTTTGAGGACCAGCTACCCAACAGTCATAGCTGGAACCGTTGCCAATTTAGAACGGGCAACATGAGAGAATCAGCAAATCCATACAAATCAGCAAACCCAACACCCAACTTCATCAGTTTTGCATCGCATGTCACAAACCACCTACAAGTACCAGTACTCTACAAGCAACATCAAGTAACTAAGTACACTACTCATTGGAGGAAGTGGATCACACATAGGTTGCGCACAGTTTTCGTGATACTGCTTGATAGTGGCTAAACAAAATCACCGAGACATCATGTTCCAACAGCTCGTGATGCAAGGTGAGAGATCCCAACAGGTCATTGAGCAGTGCATGTCACAAATGGAGCAATCTGGATGCAAACGTGCCAAAAACAACCTGGTAACTACCTGCTTCCGCCTGAACACCGCAATCTTAACGTTTTCATGCTTTTTCCTAACCGTCCTAACCATATTGTGAATATTTTCTTGGCCTGCACCCACCGAAAGAATAGAACAATTGCCCGGGAACATCTTGATTCTGCAACCGTATGGATAAACGCGGACAGCGCTCTGACACCCTAGGATCCCACATTTTCGCGGTATAGAACAACAAATATTCTAACAAACACATACAAATACAACCAACACAACAACCAGCAACGTCTTTGATGGCAGACCTTTGCCAACTTTGTAACCTTAGAATAGCCACACAGACTTAGGCCCCCCGCACTGCGTTCTTCTGGGGGGTCTGGAGCACTACCCAGAAAGTCCAAGAGTGAGTCCTGCAGAGTTTGAGATCCACTGGATTGGCAGTTTTTTCGTTGCAGGTTTAGGAGACCAATTCTGATGCAGGTTGGCAGTGACGCCCCTTTGCTTTTTCAGCTTGTAAGCAGGGTAAGTTGAAACATGCTAGTTCTTTCTTTGAGACGTTATAGACGTTTCAACGTATCTCAAATATCAGCAAATGCTCAGCCTGAAAGAGCCCCCATATTCATATTAATCTTCGACAAATTGATGGCGACCAAGGAATGAAAACCGCCCGCTTTGCATTCTCATCATTCTCCAATTAAATTTGAATCCGTGAGCCACAGCACACAGCCATGCTTCATTTGACCTACAAGCTCTGGGCTTGGTCTGATGTGGGTCGTTGGCAGTCGGAGCTGCAATTCCTTCAAGGAATAAAGGAATGATTCAATAATGATACAACATTTCAAACAAACTCCCCAAACTCCCTCAGCCATGCTGTGAGCACCTTGCAACTTGTTTGGGGGGCTGCCAAACTTGCACCACATCAGCTGAGCAGAAGGGTCTGTAGATGTCTGTAGGCTGTCATTTTCCCGCATTCAACGGCAGCCTTTTCCTAATCGTAACTGGAGCCAGGCAGCCAGCTGGGCCAACGAAACCATTCCTTGCGGTCCTTGTAGGGCCTCATAGGACCTTTATCATCCTTTATCTATCTCTATGGGGATCTTTGGGGTTGATTGGAGGCTGTTTTTGTTTGACAACTTGACAACTCATTACAATTCCGCCGGGGTTTCCACATTGAACAAGAAAAGTCTGCTTGGGTTTACTTCAACCAGTGTCGGCTACGACGGCTACGATTGGGTTATCGGTTATCGAGTGACACACTTTTCACGGAGCGAAATGTTGCTTTTTACGCAATCATGCAGGTATCAAGATCTGGCCTCCACTTTACCGCTCGACTTCATCCATTGGTTTGCAGCACCCATGATGGATCATCTGTCAAGTCAATTTCAGATAATTTCAGCACTCTCCGGCGTCCTGCTGTCCAGTTCGAGTCATCACTAGCTTGGCATGTAGGCCTTGGCGGAAGCTTGGAATCACAACCCGTCCAGTATGATCCAATAGTCGCAATAGATCGCAATAGTATCCAATTCTCAGCAATCAAGATCCATCGATACCCCAGCAACTCCTGCGCCGCGGTCGTGAATCGTAGAAGCATTTCTGGTCTCTGCTGGAAGCAACTGCGCAAATTTTCCACCCAAAGCAAAGTCTTTCAAATCTGAAGAATGCATGCAGCAGCCATCACCCTAACTTGACCTGCTCACTCCTGTTTTTTGGGAGAGTGAGATTGGCTTCGATCCTGTGAACAAATGCGAACACTGCTAAGCTGTCAGACACTACATGACACACTGTACATGTACGCATACCTGTACAAACATGACACAAGGCTCTCTAGACTACCAGACCAGATCGACATCGATGTATGTTTCTTGTCAGTCCCCCGCTTCAGTGTTGCGACTGGGTGTTTGAAGCGCGAAGAGGTTGATTGCCAAGTCATTCATATGATCAAGGCGTATTAAGATGACTAAGCTTAGACTCTTAGACTTGCTGTAGTTTCTGCTGGTTAAAAAAAAGGTTTGAGACACTTTGAGACCATGACCTGCCCTGGGCTTCATCCAGCATGAGGAGCAATTCTGCAATTCAATGCCGACAATGCCGACCGGATCTAGGAACCCTGCACACATCTTCCAATGCAGAACCTGCAAGTGACATTGAAATCTGGCTGCAAGTGACATGGCGAGTTGACTGAAGCGTGAAAATACACAATATAGTTTAATAACAAATTTAAAACATTTGAAAACGATGTCAAGCTGAGTCAAGCTTCCCAAAACTGGTGATTGTCTGGTACGAGTACTTTGGACCCCTTGCTTCTTGAGGGAACAACTTTCTGAGGTCAAGCAGATTCTTTGGAATTCCAGGGGTTTCAAAATGGTTCAAACAAAAAACGGTGTCCTTTAAAAAGTCAGCCATATGCCGATGCCATATGGGCCATATGCCGATGTGCGACGGGAAATTGGAGAAATGATGCGTTTGAGACATCTCAAAACAGATCCGTGCAACATCAACGACGGTTCCTAACTTTTTTATTTTATTTTTCCTACTGTCCAGTTGCGTTCACTGAAAAAGTGAAACTGAGTGTGACTTTTCGGACACTGCATGAGCTACAGCATCAAAGACTTCCAGGGCACCCTGCGTAGCATTTCTGGCGGACGATGCTCATCCAGCATGGCCAGTCTGGCATTTACTGCTGGGAAGCTGAAACAAAAGCGGGATATATCGAGATGATATCGAGATGATATCGAGATGATATCGAGATGTACATGTTGTGTTTTGAAACGTCTCAACCTCCAACTAGTTCGAACATACCAGGCAGCGGGATGGGACCACCTATCACATCCTGAGATCGGCGCCTTCGTCTGCAGTACAAATGATAGCACACGCCAGGCCTGAGTTGCGAAGTTGCCAGGACATGCCAGGACATGCCACTTAGGATCGGAAGGTAACCAATGGTAACCACATGTAACCACCGTGAATCCAATGTATGCGAGCTTGATCAAGCTCGTGACGAAAGGCGCCCTCAACAATCCAATTGTCAACAAGTCTCACAGTTGCAGGTTGTTTGAAAACCAGCTTGAAGAAAAAGGGTTGCCTATGGTTGCCTCATGTTGCCTCCATTTTTGTCTCTTGTGCTGTTGTAGATGGTCTAGTCTTAATTAAGGGAATGGCCTACTGTACCTATCCATTGCCTGAAGATTGAGAGGCTTGTCATGGATAAAAACATAACTAATCCTTCCCGAAACTTCCGGAGTCTTGACCCAAATTGTTGGTCCTTCCATCTTTGCCTTTTTTGTTGACATGGCTTGATGGCTGAGGGATCACAATGGCATCACTGAATCAGAAAAAAAAGTCGCTGCACATTCACTCAATTTCACTCACTATGCTCTTAACATCTCTTTACATTTACAACCTCTTTTTCCAATTTTGGATCACAAGCATAAATCAGGGCAACCTCTTGAATCCGTATTTTTGTAGTTCCCTGAAGAATTTCCCCAAGTGGTTTTAGTACATGGTCGTCAGTGCCGCGGTCTTACCCCAAATTGGCTACGGACGCCAATCAAACAGTTCTGACCTCTTACAAAGCGGATTGCTGTGATGCCACGTGACGCCACATGATGTCGTGCAACTACTGCTCAAGCAAGTTTAGCTGGCGGCAGCACATTAAATGTGAGGTGCATGCCCTGTATCACTAATGGTGCGGCGCATAAAATATCAGGCCGCCACGCTTTGTCCAGCACTGTGAAAAATCTAATTGGGAGAAGCACTTCTCCCTCACTTCTTTTTAAAGGAGGGAGACTCCAGCAACAGAAAGTGCAAACATCTGCCTATTGTGATGCCTTGTGTCGATATAACCTTCGTTAGGAACGTGCTTCATCGCTTCGCTCACGTCCAACGTGTGTGGCAGTAAGCTTCACCTCGCAGAAGACAAACATAGACCAAACATAGACCAAGTTCACCAACATGGACGACTGTTCAAACGGTTTAAACCATAAAGAACTCCTGAACCCCTTGAGATGTCTTAAGCACAGGCGCGCTTTCACAATTCGGCGGGACGTCGGCTGAGAAATCAAAACATACATGCCTTAGCTTCTTCCGATCTTAAAAGATATTATAAAGATGTTGATGTTATAAAGATTTTACAAGATGTTGTTTCCAGTCACCACCAGCAGCAGCTGCATACGGCTTCCACTTCCATCGGCCTGCAGTTCACGCAGCCAAAGCGGTCAACTGATCCACAGCAGTCAGCTCGGGCTGGACGTAGCAGTCACCAGCCCTTGGGAGTGAAACCCAGTGGACCGATGTGGACCGATGTGGACCGATGTGGACCGATGTGGACCACTGAGTTGCATAGTTCTGGATATTTGAAAGCACACTTTGACTCACTGAGAGCCGATGATGTCAATGATATTCAATGATGTAGATTCAATGTAAGCTACACAGCCTCAGTTATTTTGTGAGTTTGTGTGAAAAAACATGAACAACTATGAGCCATCCGAAAGAGAAAGAAAGGATGCCTTCTCACAGCCAAATGTGTTTGTAACTCCAGTGCTGTGTGCATATTAAATTCTTCCGATATCTTCAGATCACACGCCAAGACTTGAAGGTTCTTCAGGCGCTCCAGCAGCAGGACCTTTTCTTCAACAGCTCAATTGGCAGAGGCTGCAGAGCAGGCTGGGAACGTGTCACGAATTTCTCGGTCAATTGAGTGATTCACCTAGGCACCGAAACTTAGCGAGGTTTGAAGTGTGGAATGATATGAGCTCCATGAGCACTCACATGAATTACATGACTTAAAAGCGGAAGACAACTTGGGCTTGGGACCACAGGAAGGCAAGATGAAGCTGTGATGACATCAACTCTTCACAGATTGTGATGAAAACAGAAGCCATGAATTGGCCATGAATTCAATATGACGACATATGACGACATTACCGTGGTATGCCATGGAGATCCACTGGAGTTGAGACTTGATGTAACAAACTGTAAATTGGATGCTTCTAAAGCTCTCCTTTTGAAGCAAGAACTGAAAGATGATCCTCCGCTTCACAGCAGAATCCTATATAGACAAGCCTAGAAACAGAATGAAACAGACACGTTCGCATCTTTCTGTTCTTGTTCCGTTCATTAATGTTCAAAGTCAAGTCAAATTGTTCCGTACTGTATCCTGCTGTCGCAGCATTGGCAACTTCCCCAGGCACCGTCTTGAAGATGCCTTCGGGCAGTTGATCCTCGGAGAAGATCACGTAGCCTGAGCAGTTCTTCAAGATCTTACAAGATCTTATGATATCTTACGATATCTTACGTCCTACATGTCTACATGAGACTCTGTAAACTGTGCAAACTCTGCAAACCATATGAAACCAATGTCTTTGCTGAACTCTCTTTCTCTCCAACCACCAACGACCTCTGAAAAGTTTTGGAGCCTGGTCATGACGTACTAATGCAGTCTAGGAACTACCAGGCCATACAGCAATCAGCAAACACCTAGGTCATCGTCACAGATGTGGGAAATTCTGTGATGCTCTCAATTCAAAATAAGCATCTCTGATTATCAAAAAAAAGAACGCTAAGGCGCAGTAGATCAGCGCACCTGGCATTTTTGTTGACATTCGTCAGCATTGCATACTGGGCACTCGTCTCAAGACCTGTTACTAAATCTTTCTTTGTAGAACCTGCAGCACAGCACTCCTTGATATGCTTGAGCTTTGTGATGTGGTGAACTAGACAAAAACGGGCGCTGCTGATTGAGTTCTTTCTTGACTTACTTTCCCACCATTTACTCAGCCGCTATAGTTTGGCCCTTTTTGAGGCAAATCCCTTGCTTGACTTCAAGTGGCTCAATGAAGCTGGTGCCTGGTTCTGACCAGTAGTCAGCAGTGCGTTAAACTTGCACTGCACCAGTGCAACGAAGCAAATGGCTACGATTTTGACTAGCATGCTGCAATATGCTGCAGTTAAACATACTCAAAACATGTGCTGAAGCTGAAGGATGCTGACTGCCAAAGGATGCTGAAGCATCGGATTCTTCGGTATCCTGTGTCTCAGATCTCAGCTCCTGGCTCTTCATCTTCAGTGAAGGTCTGATGGATGCTGCCCATTTCGTTTGCTAACCATTGACCTGCACTCTTTCTGGGATTTTCTGGGGCTGGAATCCAGAAGTTGGAATCCAAATTTGAAAGCAACAGAAAACACACAGTGAGTCTTTCAAGCACAGTGTTTCAGCAGCAACTTTTCTTGCAACACAAGATCCAAACCTGTCCAAGTCTTTGTCAACACGAGCAATCAATTATGATCTGTGTATAAAAGCTGGAAATGTCTGGCCTTCTACTCCAGCCTTGAATTCTCGCTTCCCAAACTGGTACCTTTATAGGGCAAGGCAGCAGAAAAGAGATACGCTGCGCTGAATTATCTTAAAATGCAGTGTCAGTGTTGCAAGCGGCTTCTGCATGATATAATCTTGTGGTCGTTTCTGAAACCACTCCTTTGCCATGCGCCGCTCTGTGCGCGCACTGCGGATTCTTCAAATCATATGGAGCTGCAGGCTCTTGGCACTCACCTGCAATCAAGTCCCGAACTTTGGGCGACTTCGGAAAAAGGTCGCCACTTTCCCCAAACACTTCAGAAATCTTCAGAACAAGACCTCACATTTAATATGTTGCACTTTGCATCAGCACCAGACAAAGCAGACGCCTAGTCTGATATCTTACTTCCTCATCACTTTATGACATTCTCAGACCGTGCCAAGTGACGTTGGAGGTGTGCAGGATTTTCTAGGCGAATTTCCCACAAGGAGCCACGCACCAAGAAGATCAGTTCGATGCCTGAAGTAGCTGAAGGACAGCCATGGAAAGAGTGTGGATGATTCGTGGTGACCGGAAGCTCTCCAAATGTCTCCAAACTTCAGCCATCCCAAATCCCACTGCAAGGTGATCAGTGTGGATCGATTCGAAGTTGCTGCAAGATTCTGCAAGTTTCGCCTGGATGTTGATGCACGAAAAAGGCCTCAAAGTTCACAAAGATGGTGAGATCCATTCAGATCCACTGCACAACAGTTCTGTGGTTGAGTGACCTCTGAGCCAGAGTACAACCCATTGCATCGAGGGACGACAGAACAGACTCAAAACCGTGGTGGGAGCAACTTCTGCTTGAACATCATTCAATATCTATTTGCAAGATTTTGCAAAAGGTTTGCACAGGGAAAGCCTCAAGCATCTAAGCAGTATTAAGCAGTTAAGCAGTGTAGATCTAAGTCTTGCAACTTTAGCTTCCGTATGCCACTGTATTTCAGATGACCGGCTCTGGAACTCATCCAAGCAGCAGTTCGAGGCGGTATGTGCAGTGCTACGAACTCTGGTCTGCGGCCGTTAGAAAGACCCGTCCTAGGATCCAACAGCCAGCGGAGCTGTTCAAAAAAAATGAAAGGACAAGATGGGACAAGCTCATCTGCTGTTTACATGTCATTGAGTTACTTGTCATGAAAGTGCCAACGGTGGCTCGGTAGGCTGCTAGGCTGCTAGGCCCGCAAAATCCTAACATGTTTGACGGTTGGCAATGTCATGCTGTGGGCTGTCCTGAGCCACTCGCTGTGGTCTTGGATTCCTTTGGGCCTTGCGCAAAGATGTTTTTCCACCTTGGCTCCGATTGCAGCAGCTGCATTGTCTCTTATGGAATTGTTCGAAATGAAAAAGGTCTCCGGGACTCTCTGGTGAAACAGCATGAACTAAGTGTATTCATTGAACAAATTTGAACACTATATTCGCCACGTCACTGCATGAAACATCTGCGATCGAAAGTCTGTTGCTGAGACCTTGAGATCAAACCCAAACCTCGCAAGTCAAACGGAAATGCGCAGAAATTCTTCTTGGATTTGCGAACACTCTGAAATGGGAACCTTCTCCCCCAAACACTCGTTTTCGATGCTGCCTGCTGAATCGCTGGCCAGTTTTTGACCGAAACGGCCTTCTGCATGAATGCAAGCAAGTCAGTATTTGTGGCAAGGAACTTGACGAACAGAAACGACTATGAAAGTGGCAAACAAATCAAAGCATATCAACCCAACTATCCTGAGATCAACTAACTTGGCATCTTCTTGGCATCCGTCTAGAATCACTTCAGTAGCAGTCTAATGGCAACATCAGCCGTTCCGTGCCATTCCCAAAGAAATCCAAGTGAAGCCAAGTGACGCATGTTGGCAAAGCTTTGATGGGTAATCGCCCGGCCAGTCCAGGGCTTCGTTCAAAGGCACACTGAACTTGGGAACTTCATCCTTGTCATGTGGCACCGCTTGTACATTCTTGTACTGGCTCTAGCGACAAACATGTTTCTGCAATGAGGACTGGGCACCTGTGGAAATCAGTCGTCCTTTGAATCACCGGGCAGTAATCTATGATAATAGATGCACATACTCCCTCAGAACAGGATATGTGAACACGAAGAATCCATGTATAATGAAACAGTGTAGAACTTGGGTCAAAGGCTTCCGACAAGGTGAAAGGAGCGCAACAAACTCTTGCCCAGATTGAAAACAGTGGTTGCTTGGAATATAACTTCAGTCTATAGTTTGGACTTCGCCGACTTAGCCAAAACCAGAGTTGGCAAGACGGACCCTAGCAGGACCCTGAAGTATGTGCAAACTAAACAAAATTCGCACAACAATATTGCCAACTATGCACCTTTTTCAAATTCTTCAACATCTCAAACCCGGGCTGGTAAAACATGGTAAAACATGCCAAGCGTCCACACGGCTGCCCCACACTCGCCGAACATGCCCGGCACAGGAGCAGAGGAGCCGCTGGGTGCTGCGATATGCAATGCGATAGTTTCGAAAGCGTCGAAAGCTGGAACTTTGCCAACTTTGCCAAAGCGCCATGTGCCACAGCTGTGCCACAGCTGTGGCACTTCGTGTCGACTGTGTTGCTGAAATGATCCCGAGGACGTCTGAATTTCTGCAGTGTCCCAATTCACTATTACAATTGCAGGTTCGAAGCAACTTTGGCACTAAGCACTTTTAAAAAAATGCCCGCCCACAGTGTAGGTGCTCATCAGCTCGGCACTTGCTTGAATGTGTGACGGCTGTAGAAAATTTAGATGTGGTCCATGTCCTTTCAATGTGGTGTGAATATGTCAAAAACTCCCAATTCGACACTTGCCAACATGCCTCAACAGTGCTGTAGCTGACAGGATGCAAACTATTTTTTGGACCAAATGAATGCAATGGCTCCTGCTAATACTGTTGTATCATTAGCCACTTTTGGGTGGGTGCCTGTGCTGGATCCCTTTTAGCTGTCCTAAGTCTTCAACCTAAAAACGGCAACGGTTCCAAACGGTTCCACGTCTTCTTGTTATGCTGTCCAAAAACAGATGAAGTCTGCTACACCCACATGAACATGTATATATATATATTATAGATACACACATATTACATATATATATATATTCATACATATTTGTCAGTTGCCCGCTGAGCAACGGAACCCAAATCACTCTGTATGCAGCAGGCCGTGCACATCTGCATTGATCTATCGACCTGTTGATGCAATGTTTCTGTCGTTCTACTGATCCTCCAGTTTGTCCATCAATAAACCCCTCAAGCAAACAATCACTCGGTTGATTGGTCAATCTCTATCAACCTGTCTGCCTACCACTCTGCGTATCTATTGACCGAATTACGCGTGTTTATATGATTAAAATCCATCTACCTTTTTGTGTGTCTGTCTGTCTTTCTGTCTTTCTGTCTGTCTGCCTGTCTGCCTGCCTGCCTGTCTGCCTGTCTGCCTGTCTGCCTGTCTGCCTGTCTGCCTGTCTGCCTGTCTGCCTGTCTGCCTGTCTGTCTGCCTGCCTGTCTGCCTGTCTGCCTGGCTGCCTGCCTGCCTGCCTGCCTGTCTGTCTGTCTGTCTGTCAATGTCTGCCTGGCTCGCTTTGCATGCTTACGCGTTGATGTGTTTGTGTGCTTATTTGCTTGTGTATGTACGTGTGTAGGTAGTTATGCAGGTAGGTCTGCATGTAGTTCACCATGTAGTTATGCAGCTATGCATGCTATGTATGAAGCTATGGACCCCATGTATATACGTGCGTATCTATGCATGCAATGTGCTGCTTTGCGTTGCGCTGCATTGCGGTGGGCTGCGTGTTATGATAACAAAAAGGCATGCAGGCACAATGGCACTATAGTATTGTGCATGATGGTATTTCCGTAATATAAATGTATATGGATATACTGAAGTTTAATCATCTACCTACCTATCTATCTGTTCATCTATCTGTTTATCGTTTTATCGTTTTATCCTTGTATCGGTTTATCTATCTATCTATCTACCTACCTATCTACCTGTCTACCTATCTATCTACCTATCTACCTATGTTTATCATTCTATCTACCTATATCTCTCTATCCCATCTATCGATCGATCGATCGACCGATCAATCAGTATGCGTTTATTTTTCATGTTCCATCTAAACTTTTTCCCTCTCATCTCTATTTTTATTTCTATCTACAGTACCTATGCACCTCTATTTGTGACGTTCTGCTTATCTAACCAGCTATCTGTCTCCCTGTCTATCTTTTCCCTCTTTCTGTTTGTCTCACCGTCCATCTATCCATGCATCTTTCTCTTCTCCTCTGGACTTTGGGCTCACCGCAAGCACGTATGCATCTGCTTAGGTGCGGAAATTGCAATACTTGTATTTAATAAAGACAAGTACGTGTAGATATGTAATTAAATATTACATACCTGAACCTTCCATTGGTACACAAAAATATGTACCGTTTTTTTCTGCCCGATTTCAAAACATGTGCTTGTTTGGGGGTCTGAAGAAAAAAAGGTGTCCGGAGTTCCGTGGTTCCCCATAGTAATCAACCTGATTCTTTCTCCATAGGCTCGATAGGACACTTTTGTCACGCGCTAATGCATGTGCAGCATGCCAAATACGACCTCGAACAGCCACGCCTGACAACATGGGTTGCGTCGCAGCACATGTAAACAACCGAGCTTTGGACAGGGTAAATTCGAAATATCCACCTCAACATCACGTATGTTTTTCATCGGCCAAGTCACCTCAAGCAAACAACTTTCAGCTATAGCGCAATTTTCACAACACCACATCAACAGTCGGGCATTATTTTTTCACACGAAGAATCCTCATGCAGGGCGTTCAACATGCAACACAAAAGCATCACAGTCACAATAAGCAGATACATAACATGAACACTACACGTGACAAAATCCAGAAACATGCGCGCCGGGAGTCCAAGTAAAGTGGGAATGAAGCCAATGCATGAACTCAAAGGTGCGATGGAAGAACTGGCTAGGCTCAGGCTGAAACAACATGCCCCCCACAGGCTCAAGACCACATGGCGGCGCCTTCTGTTCGGACACAAAAACACGCGGCACGTCATGACGGTCAAAACAAGAGGGTCAAGTGGTACACGTTTTTTTTGCGCCAGTTTCGCACTTTTTTGCGCCCGTTTCGCACGTTTTAGCGCCTGTTTCGCGCAAGACCCTTGGATAATATCAGGCGCAAAATGTCAACATCATGCATGTCAAAGCCGATCTAATGCAAGGCGCCATTTTTCATCAAGTAAACGTCAGCCTGACCGTGTTTCCAAGGGTTCACGGTCAAACTTTGTCATGCACAGCCATGCCACAGGCCGGCGAATTTTGTCATGAGGTGTTTCCACAGATACCCCCATGCATCAAGCGCTTGTGCGTTGTGCCATGAGTTACCCATGGGCAGGGCTTCAAACATTTCCCAGCGAGCAGAAAAAATCTGATTTTTATCCTGGAGGAGGAATCAGATGCAACCATCTGAAAGATAAGTCATGCATCCAGTCATGCATGGAAACCAGAGCGTCTTCAATATCGTGCGCAGCCGCCTTGCTCGTTGATTGAGGTAAGTCATGGTAAAACTATATATGGGGTATGGGGATATTTGGCGCATGTTAATAGCTGCTTGTCGGTCACATCACCTGTGCCCATGTCATCTTTCAACAAACACATTGTGAAAGTAATTGTAGGCCAACTAGGCTTCAAACCCAGCCACATGCTTGCCAACAGGGCTGATTTGGACGCACAAGTTGGGAAGGGGCTGGCAAAACTGAAAACTGCACAAAACGTAGCCATTATTAGCCACTTGGAAAAATGTGTCCACATAGTTACCTTTTAAAAAATGTGCTCGAAAATGAGGTGGTTTTCAGAATCTGCCTGTTTACCCAAAAAGTGTACCAAACACCCTAAAAGTACACATTTATCTGTACCACTGGGCGGTGCAGGTATATATATATATGAGAATGAGAAAGTCAAGCACATGTGTATATAGACGTATCAACTTCACATTTTATGCTTTATGCGCATGTGCTATCGAGGCTGTGCTTGCAAATCCTTTGGCAGTTTACTTACTTTAAAGTTGTGATTTGTTTATTCTGTATACAACAAAATTAAAACCCTAGGGGCCAACAGGGACAGTCGGCAATAAATCAAAATCAAAACCCTGGGGCCCCCAGCTTTTCTTGGTCAATCAACTTCAGTATCTACAAAATCCATCTCGTACCCTTCTTCAAGAATACTCTTCAACAGAATGCCCCTCTACAGAATGTCCACCTCCCAAACCCCGTACATCCCAACTCACAATGCTCCACAGCATCCAGACCTTTCTATCGTTTCCATGCCAAACATGGAAAAAACAAAATCCTGTTAAAAAAGAGGAACACAATCATCACTACAGAATCTGATTTTTATACAGCCCATGTCCCCCCTGATCTTATAAAGGAAATATTTGGTATGCTGACATATCCAATATACAAGTGCATGAACCTACAATAAGTAAGCATCACGGTATAGATACATACAAATGCAAATGGCTTATGCTGCAAACATATATGTATGTATACATATATACATATATATATACATATATATATATACATATATACATATATATATACATATATACATGTATATATATATACATATATACATATATATATACATATATGATATTATACACATATATATATATACATATATATATACATATATAAAATACATATACATACATACATATATTATATATATACATACACGTATAATATAAGTGTGTGTGTATGTCAGTGTGGGAATGTGCATGTATGAACATTTGCATGTCTGTCTGGTCTTGTCCAGTCTTGTCCGGTCTCATCCGGTCTTGTCTGGTTTTGTCTGCATGTGCCTTTATATATGTACTTTATGTATGTACGTACTAGAATCGAAGGCATGTAGGCAAAGCATCCTCTGTGCAGACTGCATGTATCTAGAGCTCATAAAATGTGTAATACGCATGCAATGTGCCTGAAGATATGTGCGATGGATGTGATGTGGAATGAACATGTAGCAACATGCATGTAGTAGACGTAGTAATGGCATGGACCCGATTTCTATATTGAATTTGATGAGCTTATGCAGTTTCTGAGTATCTAACCCGTGTAGTCTCCGCTAGGTATTGTATGCCTGTCTGCTTGTCTCTCTGGTTGCATATACAAATTCCGGCACACACTCACCTTTCTTACCTTTCTAACCTCTATACTGGTCTATACTAGTTTCACTGTTTTGTACCTTCAACTTGGCATAATGTCTTGCAATGCACTGGACTGAAACGGTCCTTCTAGATGTGAAGTTTTGTTTCTGCGTGAAGCTTGTTGGCAAACTGTGGGCGTAAAGGTAAAACATGGTAAAACGCGGTAAAACCATTTAAATCATTATAAATCTACATGATCTACATGGCTGTGTGCATGGTGTGTGCATGGTCTGACCGTGACCCTAACTGACCCTTCAAAGTTGGAGCACAGCATAGTACAGCGTTACGGCACCAAGGCTCGGATCGTCGCAGTCTTTCTGCTCCAACTTGTCGATGCCGAAGGCCACCTGCACATGCACTGCACATGGGTGTCATATGGGCGTCATGCCTGTCGCATCCTGTCGCATTTCACACTGCGACGTCAGTGCAACATGCCATGAGCAAAATAGATCTTTATTTAATTTGTTTTTTTCATTGATAAACATAAGCATGATCGCATGATATTGCATGATATTGCATGATGATTCTTGCGGGAAGAGGATTTGGGGTCAGTATATGTGCTGTTTGTGCATGTTTTTCATTTTTACCGGGCCACAACCGGGCGGATGGTCGCGACCGCTCTTTTTCCAGCAGAACAAATGGTCGGGGACTAGCAAACTAGTCCTGCGAAGACGTTCAAGCTAAAGGTTTCATCAAAATGGTAGGCACTCCAAACGGCCTGAATAGAATCCTAAGAGGGGCGCGGCTAAAAGGCAAGCCAGCCCGACTGTAATGAGTAGCAGTTTATTGCAAACTCAGATGGACAAGCTAGATTCAGCTAGATTCAGCTAAGTGCGGTGCTCTGTAGGCATTACTGTTTGCCCTGAGCCACTGGACACTGTGCTCCAGCTTTTTGCCATGCACAGCGGCTTCGAAGCCTGCTGTTAAGCTGCTAGAGATGCAGCAAAGAAAATCGGACATTGCGTTGACCCATAGACAAACGAATCCCCCTGGCAATGGACCCTGGAAGATCCGATGCATGTCTTAAAGACCACAGGCATTCTCTCTCCTTTCTGACCTTGTTGCCCCTCGCACTCGGAACCATTGGGAAATGTTTTCAAAAGATCCACAAGTGACACTTGTTCCATCTTGTTGCTACTTAGCCTCTTGATGATCAGTAGCTGTTCAGTGACTGATCTCCGGATCCCAAACGAAGCAATCTGCTTAGTTGCTGGGGATCATGCAACTTTCCGTGGGATGTGCAAAGATGTGCAAAGCATGTGCGGCCGGAACGACCATGGCTAAACAACTCGAACACGGTCCATCTAGGTCCATCTAGGTCATGTTGTCCATTGCTTGTGTTGATTTGTTCATCGCTGGATCAACAGCACTGTACTGTGGCCAGCAGACGACAGCGGGCGACAGCAGGCCTGCAAAAGATCTAGAGCCGGAATAGCATGAAATGTGGCTTCCTGTAACCGCCTGTAACTTTATTATCTTCCATTCAATTTGTACAATTGCTTGGTGACTTGAAATGTTAAAATGGCAGAAATGAGAAAGATCTCCTTCGTCCCACTATCCGTCACTATCCAGCTAGGAATCTCAAAAGACCGCTTTTTGAAGCCGAAGGTTGCTTTGTGACGTTTCCAGCATATTCCAATGCGAAGAGATCGGAAAAGTCATCAATGGTACGATTTCCTACACAGCACATACTTTCCGAGCTTCTCGGATACTTCCCAAGCATCTACCTGTCACCCACTATGTCAGCGGCTCTAAACGCATTCGGTGCATTCGGTGCATTCGGCGCATTCGGTGCATTTGGCACATACTAATCATCAATTTGGTGACTGTGGCAGTACAGCCTTTGCACACACGAGGCGTTTGGACCGTTTGGATCCAGCACAGCAAGTTTTCAATTTCAAGTCCGCTCAGTTGGAGATGGAGGGAATAGCTCAATTCCTGACTATTAAAGTCGTACCCTTATCCTCTGTACTGAACCTATCCCTGAAATTGCCTATCCCTGAAATTGCCTGAATGCAGTCTTGCTGCAGGTCCTAAGAACTGGAAGGCCGCAGGTAGACAAGAGCACAAAGGACATACTGAAAAGGATAGACAAGGTACAAGATGGTACAAGACCCAGTATGGGACGAAAGACATAGAAAGACCGAGCCTCACTGCATGTTGCCTTGGAAAGCTATCCAACCACTTGCGCGGCAAATTTGACGCTGTCCACAGCAACCTTGAATTGGAGATTATTAGAGTGAACATGGAGTGACGGTTGAGTGAACGACATGAGTGTGAAATGGTGTGAAACAATGACCTCAACGACAGGATCCACAAGGCAAAATGTAAACAAGATATGAGAAGATTAAATTGGAAACTTCTCAAACTCCGCATCTGCACAAGCTGAACTTGCCACTGTAATGCTGCTTCTTCAGCACTTTGAGGAAAAGGTCTGTATCTGAAAAATTATAGGCTTGGACAGGCTTGGCCCGTGTTGCGCATCTGTTTATCCCGATCATCCAACAACCTCTGGATATCAAGACATACTGGCTGCAGCTATTGGCTGACAAATAACCCCTTTGATGGTTCAACATGTTTCAATGTGGTTCAACTGTATTAATGCTACAGGTTTCAATGCCATGCTGCAGCCACATTGGTGTCCTGCGTCCATTTTCGAAGGTGATAGGGAGAAAGCCGGAGAAAGCTGCAGGATGAATTGGGTCAGTCTCAAAATTGTCATCTCCGATCATCTCCGGGTCAAGCGATGGAGATCAAAAATGCTAGTTGCCCATAGTTGCCCCACGGGGACAAATCTGAAGAAAAAGACTGGCTTCAGATTGCTCTGAAGCCAAACAAAATTTAATTTAAAGCATCACGCTCCAGCAACAGCTCCTCAGACATAGAAAAACTGTCTGTGACTATGCCAAGATGCTGTTTCGGAAATTCAATGCATTGATAAGCATTGCATGTTTTTTTTGCATGTTTCTCAGTGGGAAAAAAAGCAATCAAAGGGTTTGAACATGTCATGCTTGGTAGTCTGGAATTACCTCACAGCAAGCGGTAAACGTGTAAGCCAGTAAGGCAAATCTGACTCTCAAACTCTTCCTGCGAGGCCACATGTTTGGATGAACAATTCCTTCAGAACAATATATTTGTATATTTATATTCTATTCTATATAATCTATTTGACATTATTTGCTAGTGGGATTCAGATTCGACATTATCTGCTAATGGAATTGGGATTCCAAGTCGGATTAAGCCTGGGTGGTGCCCCGGACAAGATCGTTTTCTTTGGTTGCAGGACTAATTCTCTATACTCAGTGTGCCCCATGTCTAACTAGTGGGACTAGTTGCTGGCTATGCTGACTTGGTTTACATTGAACATTGACCCAAGAGAGGGTATTGATAGTCTGGGAGTGGCGCTGGCCCATCTGGTTTCGAATCCAAAGCTCTCTGCTCACTCCAAAACCGACGGACCGTCTGAACAAATTCGATGGTGCAACATCTGCATTTGCAACCGCAGAGTGGGCGAAGTAATGTAGCCTCGGGACACACAGCACAATAGCCAGAAAACGGACTACTCAAATGGTGGTATACAATGGTGTAATATGATGCTCCACAAGATCACAAACAAGAGGAATCCAGTGTAGAGACTGGTGCAGTTTATCAATTTCCAGTGGGGAAATGTGTGACGCATTCAAAACATAACAAGGAGCTGTAGACAGTCCTCCCATTGCTGTCCTTGCTTCTTGGGTCTGCACCAAACTGCAAAAGTAATAGAATCATTGGCCTTAGGCACAGCGGTCAAAACCCACGGAGCAGGATTCGTTGAATGTTTGAAATCTTGGTTGCAAGGAGAATCCTAAATCAGCCTGAGAACCAATGATCTACCAGCGAGGTGGGATAAACAACTCAAAGAAACAGTTCCATCGCTGTCACTTCTTGAACAGTCTGGTCATGTTGCACCGCCACTTTTTTAAGATTTAAGATGTTCTTTGCCCCGAAATTGAACTATCTAAACAAATTTGGAGAATATAAAGGTATATAAAGTGTATTCAGCATTATTCAGCTTCAAATTTCTTCAATCTCCAAACTTCCGGCTTCAGTGAATCCATCAGCCGAGTGGCTCGTTCTTGCTTTTCGCTGCCCGGTGCAATGGTCGTTCAAAGAAGCGTCCCCAGCCGAAGCACACGGACTTTGGCGCCCCAGTGGCGTTCACATCAGCGGGGTCAAAATTATGCTTCTTCAAGAATTTGCGTAGCCGGATCCTTGACCAGCGGTCATTGGGGGTAGTTGTGGCGTCTTTGAGTCATAGCTGAAACAAGCCAAAGCTGGCAGAATGCCATGAGGCTACGGGTAAGTCGATTGGTATATCAGGGAGGTAAACATGTCAAAATGAAGGAAATTGATGCGTTAAGCAGCACCAAACGAGTTTATGGTGAGATATGGTACATCATGTTGACATTGGACATGTTTTTACTTGCGGCAGAAGATACACTCATCATTATACCTATTGTTGGGCTCCTGCTGCTCCCGCTGCGATTCATCGAGCTGGTCTCAAATCAATTTCAAACCCTGCAACCCTTGGACGCCAGATGCTTCGCACTGAGCAAATGCAAAGGGGTCATACCGAACTGCAAGCAACCATGAAATCTAGAACTATGTTGAGAAAAAACACAGTGTGAAAGGAACCGCCGCGAATTGACTAATCTACTTAATACCTGTTTTTGGCAAAGAAATGAAGCGGAGAACTTCAATCCTAAGACGCACAAAGACATATCCTCTCCATCTACACAAAATCCTGATGCATCTCCAGCCCAAAAACAAAATTCAGCCCGTTTACACATGGAAACCATTGCAATCAAATCATTTGCATATTGCAAGTGTAAGTTTCGCAGGGTTTTGCCAATGTGGGGGCCAGGAATGCATGTGCAATTTTCCTTAAACTTTCAGGCCAAAAGCCAGGCGAAAGAAGTTGTGAACGCTTCGCACTTTGAATCAACACCAAACATCACCAAACATCACCCTAACACCAAAACATATCACCCCAACATTGCCCACTATCACCCAAAAATCCGACCACCAAAACCCAACACCCATTGAGGCAAAGTTGGGCAAAGTCCAGGGGCCTTTGCTTCTCGAGTTTGTGTCTCTGTTCTTCGGCTTCGTCCCTCTGCCGCTGCTTGCGAAAGTACCTTTCCTGAGAGGTTTGGTCAGCGGTCAACAGATTCAACAGTGGACTTCCCGACTTGACATCTGACTTCACAGAATTCACATGTCACATGGTTCAGGTCAGATGCATGTAGATGCTAGACTTTATTCCGCATGCAGATGTCTGCCTTAGCTCGTCTAATCTTGATTGAGGCCATTGGTGCGTCTCCTTTTTGCATAGCGGAATCCCCGTATACATATGCATGTAGCTAGTGTATATATATATATGTTCCAGGTTCTAGGCTCCCCCCCACCCATGGTCATGGTACTCTGGTATGCTCCCCCTCCCCGCTGTGGTGTGGTGCGGTGTGGTGTGGTCGTCATCCATTGGCATGCTAGAGGAAACATGTAGGCGGGGCTGCCTATATTGTACTAAAAAAGGAACATGTAGGTACACACGTGCTAGGGGGACCATACCACGGGGGGGCTAGCGAACCGGCCAGGATATATATATACACATATCATATATATATATAAACATATATTATAATAAATGTATATATATATATATCATATATAATAAAAATGTATATACATGTTGTCCATGTATAGCTATATTTTTTTTTAAAAAAACATTTTTTAAAAAAATATATTACACATATGTGTGTGAAAGTGCGTACAAAAGCGTCTTTGTTTGATCTGTTTGTGTCTGTGCGTCTCCAATTGCGATATAGCATGTTATAGCGTTTCGTATCAATGAAATATTGCCACCTACTAACACCGTACTTAAGTCACATCAGGCGGGAAAAGTCACATCATCCCCATGGCACGGCGGCGATACGGAGAAGTCACATCAGGTAGTGGAAAGTCACATCAGGGAAGAAGAATCACCATGGCACAGCCTGTTTCATCCATACTTGGAGATGTAATTAAAAGTAGCCGAAGCATTGCGCACAGCGATGATTTTGTGAAGGGCACAAGTTAATACAAACAAATTCTCGGCAGCTAATCCTATTGGATTTGAACATATTATATGGGCGAAGATTTTTTTTTGTTTTTTTTGGTTTTTTTTTGTTTTTTGGTTTCCTATTAGTTTTCTTCCATTTTCCATTAGTTTTCCTTCATTTTCTATTAGTTTTCCTTCATTTTCTACTAGTTTGCATTCATTTTCTATTAGTTTCCCTTCATTTTCCATTACTTTTCCTTCATTTTCCATTACTTTTCCTTCATTTTCCATTAGTTTCCCTTCATTTTCCATTACTTTTCCTTCATTTTCCATTAGTTTTCCTTCATTTTCCAATAGTTGCTCCATTAGTTTTCCATTGGTTTTCTTTCATGTTCCATTTTCCATTAGTTTTCCTTCATTTTCCATCAGTTTTTCTGTATTTTCCAATTGGTTTCTTTCATTTTCCGTTAGTGTTCCTTCATTTTCCCTTAGTTTTCCTTCATTTTCCATTAGATTGCCTTCATTTTCTATTAGGTTTCCTTCATTTTCAACAGTTTCCAATAGTTTTCCTTCATTTTCCACTAGTTCGCCTTCATTTTCCATTAGTTTTCCTTCATTTGTTTATTAGTGTTCCTTTATTGTTCAATTGTTTATCATTTTCCATTAGTTGTCCTTCATTTTTTATTAGTTTTCCTTCATGTTCCATTAGTTTTTCTTCAGTACCACTAGTTTTCATGTATTTTCCAATAATGTGCCTTCATTTTCTATTAGTGTTCCTTCATTTTGCTTTCAATTTTTTTCACATTAGTTTTCTGGCATTTTTTGTCATATGTTTTTCTGCTTTTTTTTTGCCACTGTTATTCTGATGCTTATTTGTTTGATACACTTTTGTGTTTGCGTATGTTCAAATATGTTCAAACATACACCAAGGCTCGTACCTTCACCCCAAGGATGGCGTTAATCTATATATGTATTAAAAAAAATGAATAACTATGCGCCATGTATTTATATATGATTGTACATATCGACCAACGTGTAGCAAGTGAAGCTGATTTAAAAATAAAGCGGGTGGGGGGGTGCAGGGGGGAGGGCGCAGCGCCTCCCCCCGCAATGCGTACCAAGAAAGAAGCACATAGGCACAAGTGGCGATGGATATCAATAAAGATAAAATGAATCCAAATAAACGATGCTGATGAAAAAAGGAAAAGAATAGTAGGTAGCAAATGGAGCCGGTTAAGAGATAAAAGCGGGTGGGAGGGTGCAGGGGGGAGGGCGCAGCGCCTCTCCCCGCAATGCGTACCAAGAAAGAAGTACATAGGCACAAGTGGCGATGTTTCTTTTACTGAAGTAGCTTTCGCTTTGAACGGTTGTCCATGGCCAAAAGCCAAAAGCCAAGCGAAGCCACAGCCACCAGAAGCCAATACACACCAGATCCAACAAGTGTCCTGAAACAATGGTTTTCAATGATGGAAAAGGGCTAGTCCGGACACTTGTTGAAAAGAGTTTTAGTTCCTCTCGCACAAGCATGCATAGAAACCCACGAGTAAACGTCTGAGTTTCTTGCAACAATTGCTCAACCCAAATGACATGAATATAGCTGGAGTCCAGATTCAACAAGTGTCCTGACATGCGTTGTTTTTTCCCCTAAAAGGGCTAGTTAGGACACTTATTAATATGGTCTTCATTCCTCTCGCACACGCCAAAGGCAAAAGGCCAAAAGACCAACAAACCAAATGCAAAATGCGAAGTGAAGCGAATGCTACAAGCCAACAGCCAAAAGCCAAAAAGCCAAAAAACCCAAGAACCAAAAGCCAACAAAACAAAGCTAGAAGAGAAAAGCCACAAGCCAAAAGCCGATTTCTTTAGGGTGTCGTAAAGCCAGGTGAAACCAAAAGCCAACAAGCCAGAAAACCAAAAAGGCCAGAAGCCAAGAGCCAACTGAAGCCAAAAGTGAAGCCAAAGCCAAAAGCCAAGAGCCAAGTGAAGCCAAAGCCGATTCCAGGCCAGTCCTACAAATGTGTTTACAACCCAAAAGCCAAAAGCCAGGTGAAGCCAAAGCCAAGAGCCAAGTGAAGCCGAAGCCAAAAGGTCTTATTTTCCTGCGTTCATTTCCCGAAGTATGGAATATGTAGTTCAACTATCATTATGTATCTTTTCTTTACGTATATTAAGGGAAATAAGAGTCTTATTTCCCTTCTTTCCCGTAACATGGAGTAGTTCAAAACAATATAGCCAAGAGCCAAGTGAAGCTAAAACCAAACGCCAAAAGCCAGGTGAAGCCAAAGCCAAAAGCCAAGTGAAGCCAAAAAGCCAAAAGCCAGATTATGTCTTTTCTTGACTTATCGAGGAGATAAGGGGCCACAGAAAGCCAAAAGCCAGAAGCCAAGTGAAGCCAAAGCCCAAAGCCAACAGCCAAAGTGAAGCCAAAGCCAAAAGCCATGGCCCAAAAAAGTTAAACGCCAAAAAGCCAAAAGCCAATAACCAAAAGCCAAGAGCCAAAGTGAAGCCAAAAGCTAAAAGCCAAAAGCACAAAGCGAAAAGTCAAAAACTAAAAAACCCGAGCAAAGCCAAAAGCCAAAAGCCAAAAAGCCAAAAGCCAAAAAACCAAGTGGGCATTCGAAGCCAAAAGCCAAGTGGACGCGCAAATGAGAGATCGTAGCTCCAAAATGCATGCAAAACACAGATTTTAGCTCCAAAGAGCAACAAATAGCAGGGAAAGCTGCTCCAGACTGAAAAACCAAAAAAAAACCTTAAAAAAAAACTAAAAAAACATACCCTCCATATTATATTGATGTCCTGCGTCGCGTGACCAAATCAAACCCCTAATGGTACAGCCTCAAATTTCTTGCAATGCAAGTGGGTTAGCTGTAGCAAATCCTATTGGCTGGGCTATGATCTAGGATGATATAAGCATATGGGGGCCCCTTATTTTCCGCAACCAAATCTATGGCTGGCGCGATGTGCATCAATGTCGTGGACAAACAAGGCGACCGAGACTGTTATTTTCTGTTTCGGCAATATGTTTGCACGAGCGGCAGCAGCAGGCAGGAGGAAGCAGCAGCAGGAAGCAGCAGGAAGCAGCAGCAGCAGGAGGAGGAAGCAGCAGCAGCAGCAGCAGGCAGAAGCAGCAGCAGCAGGAAGCAGCAGCAGCAGGAGGAGGAAGCAGCAGCAGCAGCAGCAGGCAGAAGCAGCAGCAGCAGGAAGCAGCAGGAAGCAGCAGCAGCAGCAGGAGGAAGCAGCAGCAAGCAGCAGCAGCAAGCAGCAGCAGCAGCAGCAAGCAGCAAGCAGCAGCAAGCAGCAAGCAGCAAGCAGCAGCAGCAAGCAGCAAGCAGCAAGCAGCAAGCAGCAGCAGCAGCAGCAAGCAACAGCAAGCAGCAAGCAACAGCAAGCAGCAAGCAGCAAGCAGCAAGCAGCAGCAGCAGCAGCAAGCAGCAAGCAGCAGCAAGCAGCAGCATGGAGCAGCAAGCAGCAGGTGAGCAGCAGGCAAGCAGCAACCAGCGTTTGCCCCCTTGAAAGAATGATCAAATATGTTTTTAAAAAATCAACGCAATAAAAAAAAATCCAAGCGCACGGCCCCAAAACGAAGAAATCGTTTAATTACTAAAAGTTGTGGCGCGCGGCCTCCCGATACGACTTTTACAAGCTGATACGACTTAACGCTAGCGTTAGTAAAGTCCTATGTTTGCGTGGTTTCGAAACTTTGCGTGGTTTCGAAACTTTGCGTACACTCATATTCTCCTGCTGCTTGTTCTTCCCTTATTTCGGGGTCAATCCCGTTTTCTTTCGTTGGTTGCGGCTACACAGTTGGGCTTATTGAGAATGTGCCTGCAGTTCTTCCGAGGATATCAGCCATAATGCTAGAACAATTTGAAGCAGATTCATTTCAATCTTGAAGTGCTATGTTGAATGATGTTGTCAGGTTTATCGGCTGACAACCTCTCGGTCTCAAAAAACTGGATATCCAGACTCTGTAAGTATTGAACAGCATTCAACAACAAGCAAGTTTAAAGTTTCTGCTGGAGGGGCTTAGAAAATCACAGCAAGTCGTTTGTATCCGTCTCCATGGTAAGCTTTCCAGGGCAGGATCGAGCCCTTTCAATTTACCCCAAACCATCATACCCTTGCACCAAATGGAGTCGAAATGTGTCAAACAAACACAGCAAACACAGCCGTCAAGTAGCTGCAACCGCGATGTCACCATGCAGCAAGCTCACGGGGGCGGAATCCGTAACAAGCTTGCAGCGTCCACCGACCCAATCCCATTCGAAGCGCGGCCCGGCCATGGCCCTGTGAGACAGTTACTGCTTTGCTGCGAGGCAACTGTCAGGGGCTGCGACGAATGGCTTGAGGTCGAAGCTGCAGTGAATCAAGCCCCCAAACTAGCTATCCTTTGACTTGCGATGAACGATTGTGAAAATGATAGACGGATCACAAGAACCAAAGTAGAACCAGGCATTTCCTGAAAAAAAGTAGACATATTTGAAATCTTGGTGTGTATGGATATCGCTCGAGAGTGGCCTCATGTTGACTGAAAGCTTTCATCTGAAAGCTTTCATAAAGCTTTCATTGTCAGACAAATCGCACAGAAAGGCAGCGTCTGAGCTGAGGGGGAGCGAGGCTCCACTAGACTAAATGGGATGACACAAACATAAAAAAGGCAATCAAATCATAACTGAATCAAAACCCAGTAGATATAAAATCACTAGGAACATACTGCTCTTCTTTTGTCGGGGGAAAAAGAACGTACAATTTTTCACACGCTTGAATAGAGGCAGTACTATCCTAGCGTTGGCCTCCTGGAAGGGCAGCTTGTTCCACTGATAGGCGCGTGGAATGTGCCAAAAGGAATACAGGACAATCCTCAAGGCGCGTCAAGCGTCAGCAATGAGGGAATAACAGAGGTATATATATATATATATATATCCGCCGACCCCGGCCTTTGCCAAGGCAGGGTCGGCGCCTGGGACCACTGGAGGTGTGGAACTTGGCTCTCGGGTCGCAAGCAAAGGCACACGCCATCAATGCAACACCTCTGTCAGCTACATGCCCCAGACATCTACATGCTCCTGCCGAACTCTTACACCTACATGCCCCAGGACGTTCAAGACTGCCCTTTGCCCGGCCTCAAACCCTCCAAACGCTTCCGCAGGCCTCCAAGGCAACAACTCTTACAGCTACATGCCCCTGCCATCTGTTTTTCAGGGGGTTCAAGACTGCCGTTTGCCCGTCCTCAAACCCCCCAAACGCTTCCAACGCTCTCGCAGGCCTCCAAGGCAACAACTCTTACAGCTACATGTCCTCAAACCCTCCAAACGCTTCCAACCCTCTCGCAGGCCTCCAAGGCCCTGCCATCTGTTTTTCAGGGGTTCAAGACTGCCGTTTGCCCGCCCTCAAACCCCCCAAACGCTTCCAACGCTCCCGCAGGCCTCCAAGGCAACAACTCTTACAGCTACATGTCCTCAAACCCTCCAAACGCTTCCAACCCTCTCGCAGGCCTCCAAGGCAACAACTCTTACAGCTACATGCCCCTGCCATCTGTTTTTCAGGGGGTTCAAGACTGCCGTTTGCCCGCCCTCAAACCCCCCAAACGCTTCCAACCCTCCCGCAGGCCTCCAAGGCAACAACTCTTACAGCGACCTGTCCACACGCTCCACGCAAGAGGGCCTCCAAGGCAACAACTCTTACAGCTACATGCCCCTGCCATCTGTTTTCAGGGGGTTCAAGGACTGCCGTTTGGCCCGCCCTCAACCCCCCCAAACGCTTCCAACGCTCCCGCAGGCCTCCAAGGCAACAACTCTTACAGCTACATGTCCCTGCCATCTGTTTTTCAGGGGGTTCAAGACTGCCGTCGCAAGCACAGCTACATGCCCCTGCCATCTGTTTTTCAGGGGGTTCACTGCCGTTTGCCCGGCCTCAAACCCTCCAAACGCTTCCAGCCCTCCCGCAGGCCTCCAAGGCAACAACTCTTACAGCTACTTCATGCCCCTGCCATCTGTTTTTCAGGGGGTTCAAGACTGCCGTTTGCCCGCTCTCAAACCCCCCAAACGCTTCCAACGCTCCCGCAGGCCTCCAAGGCAACAACTCTTACAGCTACATGTCCCTGCCATCTGTTTTTCAGGGGTTCAAGACTGCCGTCGCAAGCAAAGGCACACGCAACGTTTGCCCGGCCTCGCTTCCGCAAAAGCAAGCACAACGCAACGTTTGCCCGGCCTCAAACCCTCCAAACGCTTCCGCACGCCTCCAAGGCAACAACTCTTACAGCTACTACATGCCCCTGCCATCTGTTTTTCAGGGGGTTCAAGACTGCCGTTTGCCCGCCCTCAAACCCCCCAAACGCTTCCGCACCTTCCCGCATGCCTCCAAGGCAACAACTCTTACAGCTACATGCCCTGCCATCTGTTTTTCACGGGGTTCAAGACTGCCGTTTGCCCGGCCTCAAACGTCCCAAACGCTTCTAACCCTCCCGCAGGCCTCCAAGGCAACAACTCTTACAGCTACATGCCCCTGCCATCTGTTTTTCAGGTGGTTCAAGACTGCCGTTTGCCCGCCCTCAAACCCCCCAAACGCTTCCAACGCTCCCGCAGGCCTCCAAGGCAACAACTCTTACAGCTACATGTCCCTGCCATCTGTTTTTCAGGGGGTTCAAGACTGCCGTCGCAAGCAAAGGCACACGCCATCAAGGCAACACCTCTGTCAGCTACATGCCCAGCCATCTACATGCTCCTGCCGAACTCTTACACCTACATGCCCCTGCCACCTGTTTTTCAGGACGTTCAAGACTACCGTTTGCCCGGCCTCAAACCCTCCAAACGCTTCCGCAGGCCTCCAAGGCAACAACTCTTACAGCTACATGCCCCTGCCATCTGTTTTTCAGGGAGTTCAAGACTGCCGTTTGACCGGCCTGAAACCCTCCAAACGCTTCCGCAGGCCTCCAAGGCAACAACTCTTACAGCTACAAGCCCCTGCCATCTGTTTTTCAGGGAGTTCAAGACTGCCGTTTGACCGGCCTGAAACCCTCCAAACGCTTCCGCATGCCTCCAAGGCAACAACTCTTACAGCTACATGCCCCTGCCATCTGTTTTTCAGGGGGTTCAAGACTGCCGTTTGCCCGCCCTCAAACCCCCCAAACGCTTCCGCAGGGCTTCAAGGCAACAACTCTTACAGCTACATGCCCCTGCCATCTGTTTTTCAGGGGGTTCCAGACTGCCGTTTGCCCGCCCTCAAACCCCCGAAACGCTTCCAACCCTCCCGCAGGCCTCCAAGGCAACAACTCTTACAGCTACATGTCCCTGCCATCTGTTTTTCAGGGGTTCAAGACTGCCGCTTGCCCGGCCTCCAACCCCCCAAACGCTGCCAACCCTCCCGCAGGCCTCCAAGGCAACAACTCTTACAGCTACATGCCCCTGCCATCTGTTTTTCAGGGAGTGCATGGGCTACAAGAGCTTGTGATTCACCATCTCTTATGGGGCTTCTGTTGTGGCACGAACCATTTTGTTTTCTTGCATGGTTTCCCAGCAGGCGTGTCATGGTTGACGTGAATCTGCCCAGACGAACGGCATGACCACACAACAGTTTGACACACCGGGCAGGAGTGGGCATGGCGCCGTGGGCATGGCGCCGCGTCTTTCTGCTGACACGGCCCTCCTTCACATAAAATTGGTTGCCGCATATGCTCCTATGGTTTATTCGCCCCGTTTTGGTGTTACTTGACGTTTCCCCATTGCAAAATGGGCATATGTACACGTAAGCTTTTGCCACTGTGCTGACACGGCCCTCCTCCACATAAAATGGGTTGCCGCAAACGCTCCTATGGTCTATTCGCCCCGTTCTGGTGTTGCTTACAGTCTCCCCGTTGCAAAATGGGCACATGTAAACATAAGCTTTGTCCACTACGCGTGCGTCCTTCACGCGAAATCGGTTCCCGCATCTGCGGCGATGATCTACTTGACCTGTACGCACCGTGCTCGTCACGGATTCCCTACAGTGCGGACACTTGTATTCGCACAACTTTCTTTTCTGCGTTGCTTTTCCTTCCTTTGCTGGCACCGTTGTCTTGTCGCTGGGCTTGGGGTCTTCCTTCTCTTTCGCCTGCAAGTCTGGCTGCCCTTCCCGGGCCTCGTGCATTCCATCTTTGCGTTTCTTTGCTCTTCGCTCTGCGTCCTCTGTTTCGGCGTTGTCCATGTCTTGTTTCCCAAAGAAGGAGGGGTCGGCGGCACCCGGGCGCTAGCCCGTTTTTTATATATATATATATATTGGATAACTAGATTATTTACATAATTAATCATAATTATATAGTCAATGTAAAGTTGTAAAGTGTCTGTATATTAAAATGTAGTGTATCAAACATAGCCATCTGGTATCATTAAGCATCCTACATCGTCGCCAGCTATCTACATAGTGTACGTAGGTATCTTTTCTTCCTCGCTGAACCCTCGATCGACGAACTACCACACACCGCCACACCCTAACCACAGCGAAATGAGATTCCAGTCGCTGCCTTTGAACAACGCAAGCTTCTAAGAGCAATGTGAGAGAATCCAACAGAATCACATAGAATCACCATGCAAATCCATCCGCCACATTGACTCTATGTCCGACTGCAACTTGTAACTCTGGTCGACAGCTGCAGCAACTCAGTGAAACCAAGACTCAACAGACTTGGTACTGCTACAAGCCAGGCACACCTTTGGACGGGGCGTCTGAGGGTGAGAAACTCTGGACGAAGTTCATATTGTGCACCAGCCATCACCAGCCAACATCAGCCCAACACAGCATCCGCAAAATTGTAAAACACAAATCCCCCCGAGTTGGCTCCAAGATTTAATGTCCAGGTGTTCCCTTAAACAAATGTCGCTTGCAAAAGCAAACGTTCTGGCCTTGCTGAAAGCAAACGGAAAACAGTTGGAAAAATTGTGACAATCTGTGCCAGCTTGCAAACTCAAGAGCCTGGAATTCATGTCGGGTGTAGCAACCTGCCCAATGCGTCCTAGGGGCGAGGAGGACTTCTGCCGAAGCACACCAACCTGCTCCGATTGCCCAAGAGCCCCAGGATGACACGGACATCATCGGACAACGTCAAAGAATCTGAGATTGAATCTGAGATTGAATCGTCATAGAATGGTCATAGAATAGCATCGTATTAGCATATGATTGTACAGAAGCATGGATTCTGGGTCGGCTCAAAAAACTTTGGCGCGCTCTGGTGTTATTGAAACTGTGACACTTCCAACAGTCCAACTCTGTCAGATCAAGCAAGTTGTCACATGTTGTCAGTATGTCAGTAGAGGTGCCATGAACATGCAGTAGAGCGCCATGGCGAGCTGAACAAATTGAATCTGTGTGACCCAAAACCTCAGCCCACAGGCCAAAGAAAACCAGGGACAAAATCCTTAGGGGATGAAACCAAGATGAAACGAAGATGAAACCATCCAAAACATTCCAAAATCATCAGGCATCCCGTGGCTCGTGGCCGTGGTGGCCGTGGTGGCCGTGGTGGCCGTGGTGGCCCATAGCCATGGCTGATGTTTAGCACGGAGATTGCTGTCTCACAATGTCTCTTCATGGTCTGCACCGAGATTTCCATAGCGTTCCCAAACTGAACATGCTGTTCATCAAATTGTGAAAAGTACTGAACTTGAAAATGCATAATTGATCATAATTGAACAATCATAAACGATCAATAACGATCATAAAAATTCTACATGCCCTCCTCAGCTGGCATGCCAGCTGTATTTGCGTCAAGAATGACCGCAGCATGGTGTTCATTTTCGGCCGGAAAACACATGTCATGGTTCCGCAGTCATCAACAGCGCTCTAGTTCAAAATTTGTAAGATCTTCTTGTCACTGATGAAAAACCGATGGAAAACAAATTCTCCAGTTGATGCTTTGAATCTGGACATCTGTCAACAATTGTTCCCGTTGATTGGCCCTGGGACTGGATGCCTACCTGATTCAGTTTCATTGGCACCGAGGGTGTCCTTGGAGTTCAAGGGACTAGTATGGATTAATTATGATTGATTATGATTCATTATGATCGATTCACATGAGTGCATATTAAACCATATCTATATTATCTATTATATACATTTATATACTTGTTTATCCAGGTCTTAGCTAGGTGCCATGCAAAGGGACCTGCTTGCGGCTCCATCCTGGACACTGCAAAATCCAAGCAACACACCACCGAGGTCAGGCTTCCTGGTCTCCTTCAGAACACACAGGGTCAACGACATTCAACGACCATGGATTCAACATGACTCATGACTCCATACTCCACTCTTTCTAACGGTCACACTAAGGTCACACTCCTTTCACACTCCTGCCAAGCCTAACAGTAAATCACACGGAAACAAACCTATATTTTAAACCCATGCTATCGCATCCTATAAGCTCCCACAAAGAAGACCTACGGAGCGAATTCTTTGCCAAGGAACTGCATAGATCACCAAATAGCCATAAGTCATCCGTGCCAAAAGGAGGTCGAACATGGCAAACCTCAACTCAATGACGAATGATCCCTTTGTGACCAACTCTTACCCTGTGCCTCTTAAGGACTCCATGGTTCCTCATAATTTGCCAGGATTTTGCTAGTAAAACATTGCAAGTAGAACAGCATGGATTCATTGGTCCGACATGAGTGCCCATATCTGAAGCTCATCGTAGTAAATCACGTTGACATAGTGGGCCACCACGAGCACATGAGTCTTGCGGGTCAGATGGGTGATCATAGTGTCAGCCTGTGTCAACTAGGAACAACTCCAATCCACAGTAGCTTCTTCAATCAAATCAATCGACTGGTGATGCTTCAATGTGGAACTTGCGATAAGGTGCAGGAGTTTACCTTGATTGGCACAATTGACTGTTGTCCTGGAGACACCTTGTGCATGTGCTTGTACAGACTGCCGACATCTTCAAACCATACTCTCTCTTTATGGATCAATGGCAAAAATTGATCTTTGCAAGTGGTGCTTCAAACATCTTCAGGCAACTGTGTGCCAGGAATGAATGAATCTGAATGATTTGACAACTTTGACATTTCAACAATCGGTCCACCTGGATGGAAACAAAGGATTTGATTCATTGGGGTTTCCATCACCTCGACCATCCTCTTTCCGGGAATCAAGTAATGCTCCAAGATGTTCCAAGAAGTTTAATCTATTTAATCATCTTGATTCACCTTGTATTATCTTGTACTTTCATCCCGTTTCCGGTGGCAAAATTAATATGTCAAGGGACAATGTGACCAAGGGCGACATGCTGCAGAATAGAAGGCCCAAAACCACCGACACGGCCAAGTTCACATTGCGCGCGCCAAAGCCAAAGCTGTCCTCACAGGGTGACAAAGGGGGAGATGCCATGAAATGCCGAATCCTACTGCCGAATCCTATCCTTTGAAGGAACCACCGCTCAATGGGGTATTGCAATCGTTTGCAATTGGAATTCTGCAACATGGCACTTTCGTCAACTGGCTATTGATGCTTCAATACTTGCTCCGCTTTCATCCCTCCCGAAGAGGAGATCTGGATGTCAAATCCATCAAAATCCATCACTTAGTAATATATCGCGATTTCATCCTTCGAATTAGCGCGGCACATGCACTTATATGGACACCTACGGGATCCTACAGATTTTCAGTTGCCTGGTCTTCAGGTTCCGCCATTTCTTTGGCTTCCTGCGCGGTCAGCGCGGTCAGGCATCAGTGAATCAATCAGTGAATCAATCAGTGAAATTGCCGATGGGTGCTTTTGGGCGACTAAATCCAACAGCATCATATGCATCATATTGTGGCCGCAAGGAAACTCTTGGGACCGTTGTGGCCTCTTGGGAGAAAATAGCTCGGAAGACGAGGAACTTGGAAAGCGGCATGTACCTGACATGAGTTGTGCAACACCTTTGGAATGCAACGCATCGCAACTACCAAAAACGCTTTCCAAATCGGGATGGAGAAAACTGCTGATCATGCAGTCGACTCCAATTCATCCTCTCTTGAGTCACTATCTCACAAAAAAAATAATCGAAGGAAGTTTAGAAGTCAAACTTCCGACAATGTGAACAGATGAAAAGCAAAGACGGGAAGAGAAGAGAAGAGTAGAAGACAGAAGATCAGAGAAGAGAAAGAATCAGAAGAAAGAAGATCCAGGCGCGCGAAAAAGGTAGGTGGATAGATAGATAGATAGATAGATAGATTAGATTAGATTAGATTAGATAAGATAAGGTAAGGTAAGATAAGATAAGGTAAGACAAGATAAGATAAGATTAGATTAGATAAGATTAGATTAGAATAGATTAGAATAGATAGATAGATTAGATAGATTAGATAGATTAGATAGATTAGATAGATTAGATAGATTAGATAGATTAGATAGATTAGATAGATTAGATAGATTAGGTAGGTAAGATAGATAAGATAAATAAGATAGATAAGATAGATAAGATAGATAAGATAGATAAGATAGATAAGATAGATAAGATAGATAAGATAGATAAGATAGGTAGATAGATAGATAGATAGACAGATAGACAGATAGATGGATAGATAGATAGTCAGAGAAAGAGAGAGAGAGAGAGAGAGGGAGAGAGAGAGAGAGAGAGATAGAAGGAGAGGAGACCTCAACCACCTTTCGGTCCATCAGTGGATTCGCTCTGCCATCCGTGATTCACAACAACCAACCTCTCCTATAGGTTTCCTATTCTTTGAGACTTCCGCCACCGCCTTGTGCGGTACTACTGGTAACATACAAGCGTGACTGGATCGCCAACAAACATTATCTCATAATGTCATCATGAAATTTTCATCCATTCAACTTGATGACCTCCCGTTCGAACATTTTGAACGTTGGTACTACACGCGGGGTATGTCGGGACATGATGATTGATGTTGACTAGGCTGATTGGAATTTGGAGCATCCCATTTAGCCCAGGTGCCGCAGCATCTCCATAGCGCGCCTCGACCACCTGAAACTCTTTGGCACTGCCACACGTGTTATAATTATATGATATTATATTTATATTTGTATTTATATATATATATATGCTGCCCCCCAAAAAGATCTACCGTGTTGCTTGTTGAATGCATTAGATGACAGATGACAGATTAGTCAAACTGAAGATATTTCAGTTGACAAGTGTGTTTTGTGCAGATGCTACAGATGCTGCAAAGCAATGGGCGCATTATTTTATCTCCCAGTTCTAGCAGATTGCAGATTGAACCTAAGCAACTATGTCCTTCATATACTCAGACAACAGCTGCCCAGTGCATGCCCACAGATCTCGGTTGCGATGCCAGTACTCATACTGCGCAGACCGAATGTGAGCACAAAGCAAAGAGCTTCCCACCTTGGTGAATTGATTCAAACGCAGGCGTTCCTTGATGAACTTCCAAGCCCGATCAATGATCTGGGTTCCTGCCTTGACACGATTTTTTCCCACATGGAAGTTTGTGGGTAGTAAGTTTCACAAAAATAGGCGGTTGCCAGACATATTTGCCTTTGACCTTGACACGTTTCTTCTGGTGAGCTACACTGTCGTGCAGAACACCTGGCACTTTGGCCTTGTAAGAGCCTGCGCTATCTGTATGGAGGATCACATTTCGATCTTTGAGCCACTTCCCAGCAATTGGTTTCCAATCGATCTTGCGAATTGCATCTGGGCCTGGTGCCCGGCACGTGGTAGGAGGTGGCTTCAAGCGCATCAAGACCAAGGACTCCGGGCAACCGCGGGTAACAATGCCGGCCCATTGTTCCCAATGAGCAAGAGAACCAGTCATCATCTTGTCAAATGTGGCCTCATCAGCTTCAATGTCTTGCCGACGGCCAGCCTTGCCGAACTGGATCTCCTTCTCCTTTGCCTCCACAAAGTGTTTCCGAAGAAAGGCCACGCTCTTCCACATGAAATCCAATGCTTTGTGGTTGATCTTGGTCAAGATATGGATCGTGCTCAAAGACACATTGGATACCATCAACAGCAAAGCCACGGATTGGACTTGCAATGAATGACTTTGTGCCCCCCTGGTTGCAGTGAAGAGTGGATGTAGATGATGAGGAATGACAAAGCACTGAAACTGTGTGCGATTGAAGCAGCGATGCCTGGGAAGTCCACTGTCTCGAAGCTGCACTTTGCCCAAAACACCTTCCATTTTTGGCAACAATCCATCTTGGATCAGAAGCCAGGTGATGCCCATATCATCTGCAGCAAGAAGTTCTGGCACACTACGCTCCCACTCTGTCTGCTCTCGGCGACACTGTAGTGAACTTCTTCTGCACATACGGTGTTTGTGCACAAGCCTCATTCTTCTTTGCCGCCGGTCTTTTGTGAATCATCCGTTGGACTCCCTTCTTGGGTGCAGGGATTGGTCTGAACTTAGACGGCTTGGATGTAGATGCACATGACTTGGAGGATCCGGCTTGCGATTTGCGCGATGCACCATGCTTCCACAAGTCAAACAGATGCCGCAGCGCCAAAATGCTTATAAAAATGGCACAGAATGAATCAAGACCATGGCAAAGTGAAGCATGAAGGCAACCGCCGAGAACCGAGGAACCAGCCAGGGCAACCCGACCGACATTGATGCACCAGGGAACCCAACCGGGAAGCCATAAGGTTGAAGTAGTATGAAACCAAAGTGGTCTGATCATGTTTGAATAATGCAATGACAAGGTACATTTGTTTGCAAATGCTTGCGCACGCTTCCAGCAGACACAGCAGAAAGTTGAGGCATGATCAGCCCTTTTTCTGGCACCGCATGACGTCTATAGCTTCCGCCTCTATACAAACACAGTTCGCCAAGCACTGTGTTGAGATGAGGGTCATGGTCTGCTGAGCAGTGTGGCCTATATACAATCCTAAGAGTTCATGAATGTAGCAGCCTCTTCATCAGCGTCGAAATCTTCCTCAACAAGCCCACCAACACATTCACTTGCACGCAGGTCTGCTTCGGCATCTTCAGCAAGAGCTTCGAGGGACGAAGTCGCAGCAGCCGAAAGCATAGAAACATGAGGCCTGGACGTCATCGGACGTTTTACGCCGCAATCGTTTCTTTGGTGGATAGACGAATGTCCCGATTCGCCCTGGCACGGTACCAGGCAAGGGATCCTTGAAGATGGGAGCTGGTTTCTCGGGACTTGATGGCTCCGCTGAGGATGGCAGCCAGGCCTTTGCAGGGATGGGCTGCTTGTGCAACAAGAGGTCGTAAAGCGCTTGTCATTGGCTTGTGCAACATATTTCTGTGCTGATGTGGTTTCAATGTACTTGGCCATGCTCTTGCCAATCATGTCTTGTTCCTTCAAGATCGCATCTTCATAGCCAGGTGGCCTCTCTGTGAGGCCACTCTTGTACTTGCCATATGAGTCTTTGTCATTTCCAGCAAGCAGATCTTTGTGAATATATTCCATTTGGATGCGGTGAATGGGAGCATCATCTGTCGGGCTGGATAGCCGAAGATAGAGGGCTGACCTGCCAAAGATAAAGACCACCGTTCTTTTCAGCACTGCGCGAATGTCTGCTGTCGCCGAAGAAAGTTCGACGCAGCAATGTCAAAAATTCTTCCATTGTGATCGACATCCTGGCGTCATCCTTGGGCTCGTCCTCCTCCTGGATGTCATTAGCTGCATATGCTCGACAGCAGTTCTTTGCCAGCTTGACATCATTGTAACGGCCATGTCGCGCTTGTTTTTCCTCCGTTGTGACAAACAATTTCAAGTCAGCCAAATCAATCTTTTCCCGACTGGGGTCGTCCAGGAACACCCCCTCATGGATGTTGCCTACCCTGTGTCGGAAATTGTCCAACGACTTGGCCTGTCTCGACCCCGGAGGCGTCGGAATGTCCAAGCGTGAGGCATTATAGCAGCCCATGGCTAAGATCATGATGATGATGATGATGATGGCAGGCGTTTTCCCAACTCCTGGCCAATCCAAGAGCATGAAGGCAAAGTTCATGAACAGCGGGTAAAGCAAAGGCATCAGGTTCTCAGCCAAGAAAGGCTTCAAAGAATATGTATGCAAAGGGAAGTCCGTCTCTAACTGGGCACCAGCCATTCCCTTGGCCTATCTTGGCCTTGTTCTGCGCCATGATGCGTACTTTGGCTTCAGGCCATCCACTGATGGGAGAGCTGGAATCATACTTGCTGTCGCACAGTACCCAGTAATACTCTTGATTCTGGGAATCACATTCTGGAGCATTTTCGTTGATGTACTGGATGGCAGTCAATTGTTCGTCTTCTGGAGGCGCCCACTGAGAAGACTGGGCTCTTCGAATGGGCTTCTCAACAGCAACCTTATCCAATGAGAACCGCGATACATGGAAACCAGGCAGCCTACCAACCAAGGACAGCACGGCCTTCTTCAATGCCCAAGGCCTAGGCCGGAAGACAAAAGCATAGGGAGTCCCGCCACAGTAGTATTGAACGGCATTTGGGGCAATCTTGTCCTTGAAGTGCAACATCATGAGAAACTGCAAGGTTCCATCCTCCATGTTGCGCACAACAAGACCCAATCGACACCCATCAGGCAAGGCGTTAGGTGACCGGATGCTTGCCGGCAAAGACTCTGTGTCATCATTGCGAACACATTCGCCCACTTGACTGACACAACCGAACTCGGGGACAGACATGAAAACATCCAGCATATGGTCGCAGAGGCCACGCCTTTGGGGCCGCGACAGACAGTCAGGCAGTGGCCATCAATGTGGATAAAGAGATTGGCTCCTCGATCATGTCCTCACTCTTGGCAATGCAAGTCGGGGAATCCAGGGTCTGTAAGGTCCAGGCTTTTCCATACTTGGCCATTGCGGCGTCCAGGATATGCGCCATGAGAACTGGAACGTATGTGCAGCACACGGGCAGGGCACTTGAACCATGTGTACTGAAGCAGGCAGAAGCAGCTACAGAAATACAAAGTGCAGAGATGGGGCCTGACATGAAGAGTAAACAAGGTGCAATATTTGTTTGTACATCATGCGCACATGTAGCCTCAAGGATTTGATGTACCAAGTGTCTACCAAAACCTAGGCATCCGTCGCCCCAGCCCAAGTCTTAGCCTCAGTCCGAAATCATGTCGGCATCAGAGAGGATCTGGTTCTCCAAAGTCTGGATTGCACGCTTCAGGTTCGAGATCTCACCGCGCTGCTCCGCAATCACTGCCTTGGCGCCCGACAATTCCTTCTGGGTGCTGAGCAAATCTTTCCGAGCCGCATGCAAGGCAGTGAAGATTGACTCAAAGTCCTCTTGCAGCTTTGCAATCTGCTTGTCCTTGTCGGATGGGCCAGAGGAGTTCTCCATAGGGGGGCATCTTCTTCAGACGAGCTGGAAGATGAATCGGAATCTGAGGACAAATCCGATGATGAGTTTGGATTGCCATCTTCCAGGGCCAGTGGTACGTCTTTAGCATCAGGCTGTTGGTCACATTTGGTCACCAATGGGCAATTCATGCACTTGACCACAATAGGCTTGGCTAGGAGAGATTCCCAATCGCATCTGCGCACGAGGATTCCATTCTCCCTCTGCTCCTCCTTTGAGAAGTAGCATGCGCTGCACGTTGTTCATTGCAATGCTGAGCTTTTTCTTGTAAATTGGTTGGCGGCTTGGAAGGACTTGGATCTTGCCCTCTTGGATGTCCTCCATCAAGGCATCGGACTTTGGCCGATAAATTTTCAGCTCGGGTTCCTCCTGAGGGATCTGCAATGTCAAAGTAGCACTGCGGCGGTTTAGTTTGACTTTTCCCACCACGGAGAAAAAAGCCATTGAGCAACTAAGACCTTGATTGAAGAAGTCGATGCAGAACGGACGAGCTGCTGTATTTTGAGGCTAGCGACTGGCAACTGAAATGGGCCAAGGATATTGATATTTGTAAGCTGTCAATGATATTTTGTTGTGTGGAAATTGTGTTATACACTCAATCGACTAAGGGCAGTCTGGAATTGCATATACCCTGTGACCCCCGGCCTGTGCTAGGCAAGCATGTCGACACCGTCAGATTCAGCCCGTTGGGGTATTGGAATTCAAGCAGACGAGCAAGGATACTGGCAATCAAGAATTGTCAGTAACATTTTAGATTGTTACACTCAGGGCGACACGTCAGTTCAGATTGTTGCACTGAGCACATCAGTCTGGAACAATACGTCAAAGCCGCCCACTCCAGCTTTGGCATTTGGAGCGCGTTCGAGTAGTGTAATTTTAGAAGATGTTGCGGAGAGGTGTCGGTACTAATAGGGGTACTACGGGGTACTAGGAGGTACCAGGAGGTACTAGTACCTCCTAGTACCTCCTAGTACCTGCTGATGCCAGAGTCAGATTGTAGAATTTAACATTTTTTGAGGATTAAGGCTCAGTCATGGGATATTGCCCCACCAGCGTCTTGAAAATGTGTGACACCACGCAATATTGTCCTGGATAAAGGTTAGACTAATAAATCCTAACATATGGCAACCCCCATTATGAACCTCAAAAAGGTAGATCTTTGGGGGCGCTACTCTATATATATATACACACTATATATATACACTATATATATATACACTATATATATATATACACTATATATATACACTATAAATATATATTACAATACTACAATATATATATATATACATACAGCACATACTGTACTTGTGAAACGAATGTGGAACAAAATAGGTGTCGATGATATGCCATACCTGTGCAAGACACATGTGGTACATCTGTAAAAAGACACATGCGAACACCATGCGCTGGTGCAATGCCGCAGCCACTTCAATACCCGTGCACGCTCTGTGGAAGTCACTTCATGTGGTCCAGAATGTTTTGGCTAAATCAAAGTATCACCTGAGGGCTTCACTGAAGCACCAAGTAAGTCCTCAGTGATGGCAGCACTGCCAGTGTCTGGCTGAAAAAAGATGAAGGCCATCTTGGCACTGGAAACAGCTTTCTTCTGTATCCCATTGTATCCAGTTGGCAAACTGGACCTGCTGGCCTAGCAATGACAAAGTCCTGACTGGTTCAAAAACACAAAAGCTGAGAGATGCCGAGAGATGCCGAGAGTCATGTAGAAATGCGTCGCCTTCGGCAGGCTATCCTGAAAGTCTCTTAGGGAGAGCGGATGCAATGTGAAGACTCCGATTGAACATGGTGTGCATCCTTGCTAAAGATGGTAAAATTGCTAAACAAGATCAATCAAAAGTGTTTTAGAACGAGCTGGAACGGCGCCCATTAAATGGCCATGTCTAGTGCTTGTCCGGTTTGCTTTATATGCCATGCATAATATGGGTATGGGCCATAGGTCAAGACCCTGGTATTGTGGTGAACTCAAGGACTGGCAAATGGATATTCATCCATGTTCATCTCGCAAATTTGGTAGAGTACAGTAATAGAGTAACGCAATGTGAAACATATTCCCTAATATCATTAAATGGGGAGCCTGGCAAACTTGCGTGTGATGTAGTACACAAACACTGATCTTTGAGGCAGTTTTCCAGGTCATACCTAGCTATTGAGCAAGCCTTAAACGAGGCTCTTGCATTGTTGCCTTTACAAACGACAAGAACATCACCTGACACTTTTTTCCATGGCCTTCTACTAGCCTATAGGACCTTCAGTCGTCTGCTCCCTTACTATTCCATACTATTCCAACCAATCTATCCCCTTTCTATTCGACAACGTCGTACGTGGATACGAAGGGGCACACGGCTGATCAGTGGATGTCCCTTTCAACGGCCTCCAAGGTCCTGCAGCTCTGATGGCGCTGGTCATAACACCACAGCACTCACCACGCAGCCAAGGGGCGGCCATGATTTGGATAATGTCGTTGGGATTTTCGGCGATGTGTCGGAACTGTGTGATGATTGACTTCCCCACGGTCGTGACCTCGCAAATGAATGCATGGCCAGAGCTCAGATGTTGATAGAGTTTGATAAAATGCATTCACCATCATTCCGACATAAAATAGGAAAGCACAAATAGAATATACTGATTTCAGCAGCAACTTGAGATGATAGAACAACACGTACTTCACAAGCTGGACTTCCCGGGAAGTTGAACAGTGTGCCTGAATCTCAACACAGAAATCGGAGCTAAGACGTGCCAAGGAGCCAGGACCACAAAGATCAACTGAAAGACAAAGAACCAAAATTGAAGTTTGTGCTGAGCTAACCTCGGTTTTGCCGGTTTTGCTTCATGTTTGGACACTCAACATGTGACAGAGAACGTGAAAGAAGTCATGTCTTTCTGTTTCCACAACGGTTGAAACCTATGTCGGCGTACTATGTCGCTCTATGTTGCTGTCTAAGGATCTACACCTGTCTAGGTCCCTGTGTTGGTGACTATTGCTGTGCAGAACATGGCAGAACCAATCTCTGAGCCATCCTGAGACACCACTTCATACTTCATATCCAACCACCCAACATTGAATCCAAGTTGCGACTCCGACTGGCACACGGCTGAGATGATGAAACAATGCGGTTCGCAGGTGCTTGGAATTGTGGGGATACCAAGAAGCTTTCTGTGACGATGTGATGAGCAACAGCTATCTTCTGGAAAACCCGAAAACGGAAGAAGCCTTCGTGCTAAGAGCGATGGCAACGTGCTAAACCCCTATCAAAAGCTATGAAACACTAGAGACTGATTTGAAGTCGTCGGCAGCCCCGCAGCCTTCAGCACAAAGAATGTGCGAAAGATAGTCATGAAGAGAGTCGGGAGAAAGCACAAAAAGATGGTCAAACCTCACAGAAAAATGCGAAACACTTCTCCGGAAATGTCTCTAAGATTCTCTGGGTATGGTTTTGCAAGGATAGCGCACTTGTCAAGAGCGCTGATCAATTCAACTGCAGTTGGCTGAAAGGTCACACGTCCGTGCGCTATGCCAAACTGCGCGCCTAAAGTTGGAGCAAAGCCTTCCCAAATGGGCTGAAAGGGGCCCATGTTCACAGCCATGCCAAGATTGGTAACCTCGGTGCAAATATCGGACAGTGATGTGTCAAATCGACTGCAACAACTCTGCACAAAGCTGGCATGTTACACATGACCGTGAACCCCTTTTCGGCCAAGATATGCCAAAGCTTTTCACAGTCCCGAAAAGTGTACCCGGCAATGGAATCGAAGTCCTGCCATAAGCATCCATAAGCACTTTGCCTGATGGCACATTACCCTCCAAAAGCAAGAGCAACTCTGCAACACCCTGTTCCCAACCCATTAAAGTTTGGACCTTTTCATCAACTCCCCTCACACCCCTTATTCTCACTTCGCTCGCTAAACAACACCTCAGCATAGCCTTTTCAAAATCACATTGACTGCTTTCGATTGCAACAGTTTAGACCTGGACTGGACATTGAAGCTCCAGAAGCATGAGTTGCACCATTCGGCTCTGTGATTTGACCAAAGCGACAAAACCCACGATGGGCATGAAACCAATATAGAGCCCGAAGCAACCTGAAGTGACTCAGCACGAGGACTGGGCTCTTTGAGTGGGAGCTTTCACTCGAATGACAAGCCGCTGTCTGACTTTTGTTTAAAATTTCCGAAAGTGGGCAGTTTGAAGGGCTCAAACTTTGCCCTGGGTTCATCATCCCACAGATTTGAAGGCCAACCCCATGCGAATTAGTGTCTAGCGACGACTGAACAAATATCAGCACAAACATGTGCATTTCAAACTGGTAACTAAACGCTAGTGTTTCCAATTTTGTTAAGTTATATTGCTGGTTCGGTCAATAGATTGCAGTCAAACTGTAGCTTGTTTCAGTGTGCAAATGCTCGCAAGCGCCAGCTGTCCTGCATTGCCACCAGGGCAAGGAACAAAGGTATCCCAACAATTCGGAGCCGATCTTCAGGGTGCGAGGCCTCTTGCACAAGCTGACAGGAAAGCCGTAAGAAGATGAAACATAATGGGATGTATATGCAAAACATAGCAAAACTGATAGAAATCGTAATCTTCACTCAGACAAAATGGTTCTCATCAGTCTTTGAAGCTCCGTTTCCAATCAGTAATGAAATTGGCACCCCAATTTCTGAGGAGCTTTGGTGCATCTTTGCAGAGCTTGCATCTGCATCGTGGAGATCTATGAGCTAGGCTTGCGACCCAAGCTCCAAAGCTCAATACCATCAGTTCACGCAAAGTCCGTGTCAAAGCGAGGAAACAAATTCAAACAATTGTAAGCTGAAGCTCTTCCTGGAAGATTGACAAGCGTCGGTGGTTTAAAAAGTACTTCAGAAGTTGGTTTGACCCCTGCATTTCACACTTTGTTGAATCATGAAATAAAAGAAACATTGGTTTTGTTTCCCAAATTTTCCCAAAACGTAGTAGAAGGCTGGACACCTTCCATCAGTCCTACCGTCCCAGAATGTCCTAGAGCAGGACCAATTTTCCAACGGCGTCTGCCAACGGCGTCACTGACCTGTGATTTTTGAGCGCTGCCCAGGCACTTCCGCAAGTCGTTCCACCGGAGGTCGCTCACTTCTGGAGCTGCCGTGACCTGCAAGTTGGGCGGAAGGATGATGAATCATTGAATATCATTGAATAACGGTCACATTCATTTTGTGTCGTCCCCACTCCTGACCCAAAGCATGTCACTGAACAGGCATGTACTGACTGCACATGAAGTGCCTACAGTAGGGCATATGAGGTTGTACAAGTGCCCGCCCTTTGAAGAAATACTACCGATTGGCAAACAGGCCCATGCAAACGGCTCAGAGCGGCATCAAATAATCTATGAATCTATGCTTAGCCTGCTCACTATACGCTGGTGGCGACTAATGACGACGACGATGACCAATTAAGAAGATGACGAATTTGCAAAAGATGGAGAAGATGAAGAAGAAAAGATTGCGACGAAGAAAAACACAGTAAAGAAGAAAAGGAAAAGATGAAGAAGATGAAGGAACGTAAGAATTGCGCCATTTTGGCTTTTGACATATGACGATCAAAGGAAGTTTAGTTCGAAATTTTCCGAGTTATGGACGAATGTCCAGGGGCAGTCTTGTCATCATGTGCATGTCTCATCATGTCAACCACATCATCATGTCAACCACTTGGGACGTGTAACAGTTCGGAAGCGTGTGAATTCACGGGTGAAAACGCTCCCGGGCGCGAAACCCTGCGTTTTTTTGGTGCAGTGGCTCCTGGGGTCGCCGAAGTAAAGTCTCTGTTTCCGCAGTTCCAGGCCTCGATCTGGGAAAGTTGCCGACCAAAAGTGCACAGGACTCTGGCGAGAGCTTGATTTTCACTGCAAAATGTGCACCAGTTTGTGGCGAGAGCTCGATCGCGCATAAAAATGTAAAAAATTGAAGGGATCAGCATGGCCTAAAAAAGTCCGCGCTGTTGACGCTGCGCGAATGTTGGCCGATTTGGTCGGACGCTCCTGCTATGCGGGTTTGCAACCGGCTGTGACAAAACGCATTGGCACGGCTGCGCGCAGTAAAGCGTGAGTGATGCTGCGACGCTCCTGGCAAGCGGGATTGCAGCTGGAGGTTGCTAAACAGCTGCGCGAAAATGCGGGAAAGGTAGCTGTAGACGATAGTGCTATACTCTTGCGGCATGCGGAATAGTGAATGTCCAGGGGCAGTCTTAAGTCATCGACAATCAGCTTATTCGAGAAGTTCATTCATTTCATCACGCCTTTTCTTCGTTGCAAGCTTCATCTCATCGCTTTCCAACTCACAAACAATTCCTGTAAGAAAAACCTTTTCCATCCTTTTCCTATAGTCATGTCCCTTTTTCGAAACTTCCGCCCCGGCGCGTGCCGGGCACTACTGGTATAATGACGATTTGATGATCGCTAATTATTGAGTGTGCTAGACCTAGTAAAATGTCATGGAAGCCAGCCCATCTTCTTGTGCCTTCCATTCCTGCTTGTTTGGACTGATCTGCAGGCTCTGCGCCATCTCGGCGAAACGCCGGCCTGAAACACGTATATATTGTAGCCCGAAGAGTGAGCGTCACATCTTTTGGCTTTAAAGCAGTGCCCGGTTCAAGGAAAAACTGGAACACCGAAAGATTGCAGCAAGGACATTGTGGATTTCGCAAAACTGTTTCCTCCAAAATTAGAAAAAACATGAAACAACTCCCCGCCTTTGAAGGTCACGAATCCACAGTGTGAGGTCCGAGCTGTGGGATCCTGGCAAGGTCTCGTAAGGGACATGGTGCCTTGATATGCCTTGATATGCCTTGTGGGTGAACAATGTGAACAATGTGAACAGTGTGAATAGCACGTCATCGATCTGGTAACCTGAGCAAGTCTTACAAATTACTAGTCATTGAAATAATACAGATGGAATCAGATTAATTTGATACAATTTGATACAATATCAAAACTGCTCTTGCCTCAGTGCGTTCAGCATCGTGCTCTTTTCGAAGAGAAATGATCTGATCCTTGGCTGCGGGACCCTGCCGGAAATTTCATGCATCACCATGACGCCGCAATTTCCCAGTGCAGTTTAGTGCAGTGCTGCTCTCTGAGGCTATGTGCGGTGAATTTAGAGGCTTAATGCTACATAGAGGATGAGAATGAATGAGTCATTGCTGCAGAAGTGCACGAGACATTACAAGATGCAAGACTATGCAAGACTATACTGTATGAGAAATGCAAATGCCTGCGATTTTGACATTTTTGACATTTTTGACTCTTGACCCTTCCCATCCCTTCCCTACTCAGCCGTGGCCGAGGCGCGTCCAAGCCACGCAAGTTCCTGACATGGGCGGCAGGCATGCGGCATACTTCAAGGCATACACTTAAACTGTTGATATAAACTGATGGCTCACTTGGCTCACTTGGCTCACGACTCCAGGGTTCTCTTTCGCTTTGAGTCACGCTTTGAGTCACATGCCCAACGGTCGTCAACGGTTGAACTTCAGGAACTTTCTGAAATGATCCCCGAATCTGGGTATGGAGTCGTCTGAATTACAAGATAGTACAAGATAGTACAAGCGCCAAAGCACAACATACACAAACTGCACACATCAGAGTCAGCTGTATCAAGCAGGAGCCAGCATGAGCCAGCTGGCAATTTCCATGGCTCGTCAATCTAGACAAGCTGCTCTTCGCAATACTCCAAGGCATCCACTTTCGGACCACACCCTGGATTTCAGTGAGGCTACAGCAGGTCAATGGGATGTCACGGGTTTTGGACTTTTGGAGTACGATGTTCCAGTTTGGCATGGGACATACTGTGACAGACTAGAATCATATTCAGCTTGCTATCCACAAATTTGGCGAGACGAGGCTTTTATACTCTTTTATGATCTATGTCCAAGACCCAGGGCAGCTCTTGGAAGATGGCACACATGTGGAAGTTGATAATATGTTTATGTATTTGTCTTATACAGTTTTTGAAGACGGTTCTGGAATCCAAAGCCTTGACGCAAAATAAGAATAGCTGTGGTAAGAATCAAATGAGTACGAGAGACCCATCAATGTAGAAGAATTCCGTGCCATCCAACAAGGACTGGTCTTTTCCAGGGCACAAGTTGGTCTGTAGGTTTCCACTTTCTGAGTCTTTTCAAAGGTCAACTCGGCTTTGCCTCAGCACAGCCGTGGCTGATTGCACTTGTTGCAAATGTCTGCTGGAGTGTGTTCCATTTGCTCGAGACATCCTGTGTGAGTCCTTTCAGCATATTGGTGGTTGTTCCAGGCCCAAGGAAACACGTGCCAATATTCAGAAACAGCAACTTTCTCTGCAACCTGTGGATTGTTGCTACATGTTGCTGCATGTTGCTAGGTAGTGCTACATGTTTCTGGCTGGATCAAATCCAAAACCATCTCGCATCTGTGAGGCGCCGAGGGTCGTTTCAAAGCCACTAGGTTCTCCCTTTCCAAGACTAGCTTCGCCAATTCATCCTCCAACTTCACCTTAAGGCCGTGGAGGGAACGAGCGGGAATGCGTATGAATGCGTGCTGCGGCAAACGAACACAGGCTGAATTCAGTTCCTCCATAGGATCCGTATCTTTCAGTTACACAAGGACACTGTAGGACACTTGGAGTCACTGGGCTAAAAAGGTTTAAAAGGTTTAAAAACACAAGGCATGGGCCATGGGCTTTGTTTCTTACAGCGCGGCGCTGGGGCTACATTTACATGCCTCCGATTGCCTCCGGCCGCGATCCCTGAGCGCACGTACCATGTGAGTTCCCGCCACATCTTCTGGAGAGAAAATCGTGCCAAAGAACCTTGGCTTTGGCGATTTACTTCACAATCTTCACATCAGATTTACATCAGATTTACTTCACATCAAAAGAGTTCCTAACAAAACAAACAGCAGTGATGAGGATTTCGGATGATTGAATACAGCCTGAAGCGATACACCTTCCATTGGGTTGCTGCTTCTCAATTTTATGACTGGCCTTTTGTTCCCGGCCCAAAAACGAACCAAGCATTTGCTCGAACAGAATCCATTGCAACCACTACATAACCACTAGATAATCACTACATAATCATATGGCTACTACCTACAATTTACCTACATGTCTTTATCCCTGTTCCGTGGCGCAGATGATGCTGTGAGCGACTCCCGCAACTTTTCGTCCGATCTCCACTTGCTGGGGATATTCTCCTCGGCAGCAAAACTTAGATGTTTGAGAAACTTGAGAAGTCTTTGAGAAGCTCGAACCTGTCTGCCCGATCTCCAGAGACCATCTACGTCTACACGACTTTATGCTGGAATTCACGTGTAACATCGTGTAACATCACCACCCTTTTCGAGAATCACTTTTTCAACTTTGAAGTGCTCAATCCTGAGGGATTAAACAGTACCCAAAAACCTTGTGCTTATCCAAGCGACGCGAATGTACCATGAGAGGCACTGCTAATCTGTATATTGCTTGATACAGTAACTACTTCCTTTGCATGAGTTGCCGAAGGTCCGGGATAGGACGTATATGTACATGTTAGATCATGTTAGCTCTTCAGAAGTGTAAATGTGTCAATCTGGTAAACTCACTTCTGAATAGGGCTTGGTGATAGCTTTGAAACATTGACATGGATGGAACTAGTGATTCAATCATTGATTCCGGTCCGAAGGAATGAAAGAGAATCAAAGAGAATCAAAGAGAATGAAAGGTCAGATTCTTGCTATCTCAGATTATCTCAGGCTTCAGGCATCCAAATCTCTGCCGTGCGTCGACCAAAACTGTCGTGGAGCGTGGTGCTGGCAAGTCTTGGTGGGCACTGCATATGGTTTCGCAGGCTCTCTCTGGGATTCAAGTCAAGTGCTATCTACTTTCAGCAAAAGGATATCTATCCTTGGCACAGGGTATGCTGAGCATATTGGTTTGGAATTGGTTTGGAATTGGTTTGGATTAAATATAGCAACATCTTCTATAGTTTTGGGCTTCGTGGTCAAACCAGGCAGCTCCAGAGCCTACGATTTACCAACATGATGCTGCCAAAGGGCTCTGCAACCACTTTACTCGAAGCTGCAAGAAGGTTGCCTGGCTGCACACTTTGACAGCCCTGCAGATTGAGAGGGGAATTTGCTTGGCAATAAAAACACTTCAAAATAAAAGCATAGGTCGAATATGACCAAAATAAAAGCATATATCCAAAATAATTATCCAAAATATGATTCTCCGATATTCTCCGGAAATTCCGTCTTGTGTTTTTTCTCATTTGGAGCCTCAGCAGCGGTCCTTTCTACATCCAAGTCATCCAAGTCATCCAAGTCATCGGTCAAGTGGCCTGTGCCCTGTCCAAGTGAAAATGAACTGCCAGACAAACAAGCCACACCTCAGCCGCTTAAGGAAGCGATGGGCCTCTGCACTAGCCGCACTAGCCATGCTTCAATACCAAAATCAATTGGACTAGGCCTAGGTAGAAAATGAAGAGAATAGAATGAAAATATATAGATGAAAATAGCATATAGAAATGCATAGAATAGCAACATAATGCAACATGATAGCAAGAAAAGAAACGCAGCATGTTTTGTCTGGATCGCTCACACGAAGCCACCTGTTCAACCTGTTTCTAGATAACAAATGCGACCTCTTGCTATGCAAGGAACTACGACTGCATGCACATAGTACAACCAAGGATGATCCTGGTGAGGTGGGTGAGGTGGGTGAGGTGGGTGTGTGGTGACCATTGAACGAACATGGTGAGATCACGGTGAGATCACGGTGAGATCACGGTGAGATCTTTGAGTTCACGAATGTTCTCACTTCGAAGGACACAAAACGTGTGGAATCTTCGGTTCTCTCGGGGAGGTCCTGCCGAATGGTCGCCATCTCTGCGGTGCTCAAGTGATCGTCGCCTGGTACTGACGTTGCCGAAACGGAACATGCACATCAAGAGTCATCAAGTCACATCAAACATGGAAGCATACAATGCGGTTTGATCACCATGCTTCTAGCGAATATGGGTGAGAATGTCTGACATAAAACCAACACAGCAAACAAACACAAACACGTACTGAACATATACAAACACCTCAGGCTTGACTTAAATTGAGTCTGCAAAGCTTCAACATAATTTGGTATTGCTATGATTTGTTATGATTTGCTATGTATTAACTGTATTAATGTATTGTTTCATTGGATCCGCCTCTGGCCTCAGGCCATGCACGACTCACCAGCCTCGCGCAGCTTCACCCAAGGTTGAGTTGATGGGCGTCATGATGATGCACATGGGGATGCCGACCGTTGCCTTAGTCATTTTAGACACTCAGCGACGATATGACAATTCATTTGGATTTAACGCATGCTCCCTTTAAGTCTCCACAATTTGTATGTGGCTTCCTCTGTGCAGGTAGCACTCTGCAACAATGTCATACCTTCCACATCCTTCCACTGTCTACCTCCGTCTTCTCTCTCTCCCCTACCCCTCCCAATTATCCCAATTTTATTAAATGTCGGCTTCATAGGATCTTTTCTAAGTACTTCTGTCATGCGCATCATTTTTTCGGCGTCTGGACACATATCATATCCGAATATTCGACAAAGACATAGAAAGACGTAACCCGTTCTTTCACGTTCTTTCCAGGAAAACCCGTAGCCGCTACGGTGACCTGAGGATTTGGAGCTGGACTTGGTAAAATGAAAGCTTCAGGACGAAGCTTTAATGGATAGATTTGGTGCATTTTGGTGCATTTTGGTGCATTTTGGTGCCTTGTCCGCCTGCATGTGAGATCATAGGTCTTTTCGGTTGCGAGATAGTTTGGGGCCATCAAAGAACGCAAGACAAAGCCAAGACTAATTATCCAGGGCTTGCTATTGACTGCTATTGGCCAGGACACAAGAATCAAGGCACCTGTCGTGCAAAATTCGCGCAGCAGGGCAGCGTCGAGACCAGCTCGATCTACGGCATCCTGCGACGAGACCGAGACTGCCAAGATCTGCCAAGAACCCTCCTGTGCCAAGAACACTCCACAGCGTCCCATCGTCCCATCATCGTCCCATCGTCCCATCGTCCCACATCGTGAGGCAGGTGGCTCCTCTGTGCTTGTTTTGATGCTGAAGGAGAACCAATCACAAATTCGCGTCTGGCCAGGGCCGCAACTGTGCACAGAATTCAAATCGGGACAACTTGCACAGAACTCACCCAAATTCTGGCAGTAATGCACTTGATGGAACACTTGATGATCCAACGCAGTGACAGGCTTTGGATAATGCCCGATTGACTGTCAGTTTGTACTCTTCAGGACAAGATCGGCTGGTTTGATCTGGTTTCATCGAAGATGCTTCAAGATGAAGACCAACCCTGCTCTTCGACCCCCAAGTCATTTCTACTCCACTATACTCCACTCCAATCTTAACAATTATGTAGATACAATTACATAGTCTGTAATATTGATTAAGAACTGCCTCTCTTCAGCCCCCAACTGAAGAACAGACTGCATGTGTCACCATGTCTCACCTTGAGTTCGCGTAGACGATGCCTTTTCTGTGACGAAGTGGACACGCTGCTATCCACACCTTCACTGCGGCTCGCTGTCAATGATTCCTTCGCGACAAGTGACACGAGTGACACGAGACAGTGGGTGCAGGTGACTGGCATGGCTGGAGCGTGACAATCTCAGAACTGACAAGAACCAATCAAGAACCGATTTGTGACAATCGGAACTCTGGAATTTCCAAACAGGGCCACAGCCAGCCTTGCTTTGATTCATCTTGTGCGAATACCTTGGCCACAGCAAATACGATGCGCGATAATTTGTGAGATAGTATGAAAAATGTATGAAATGATATGAAATGCTAACGGTTGTTGGAGGCGAAGTCGAAACACAACCATAGGAGCATATTGCTCTCTCTCCAAGAAAATGTTTGGGCCATGTTGGGCCTATGGGACAACGTCCTTCACGTTCCACTTTGCTTGTAAAAGTATGTAAAAAGTGTGACGTCTTTACCGTGCAAATCCGTGAGACGCACTTAATCTTGACAAAACCTGTTGACATAATGAACAAAATTCTTCATGACATCCATGGAGGGACCTCACATAGCCTCACACAGAATCCTTGCCGTCCACGTTTGGCAACGGCTCCTAGGTCCTAGCAGTAGCACCTTGGCATCCCGACATCATAGGAAACCTCATTCGAAGTACAGAGAAGCCAATCAAACAACCTGGCACAGCACGCAATGACTCAGCCGAAAGCAAATCATTGGGTGCCATGGTACGGTCCCATGGCACGGTGCCATGCTGTGGCCTGACAATCCTGATGTGCCATGTGCCAGGCAGAACATGATGTGCCAGCTGGAAAAATCGCCTTGGGCCAGCTTCATCCCACACCACTCCCCTCACCTATGACGATGAGGCTGTTGAGAAAGAGGGCGGAGATCAATGCTTTCAGGTCTCCCGGCCCATTCCTATGTTTGCTGGACGGCAAACTTTGATTCAACGGAGCTGCTTCAGGAAACAGTAGGATCCTGGAGGGCTTCTGTATTCTGCTGCGTACAGGAACTATTTAGTCAGAATCAACGTCAGTTTGTGCAACAAAGCGGGACTGATCCATTTAGGAAGATTAAGAATTCCAGAATGCTTTGATTCGCTTGCATGCCACAAGCAAAACTGATTCAATCAGAAGAATACCAAAAAACGTATGATCTTATAGCATCTTATAGCATCTTGTAGCATTGCGAGTGCTGCCGGGCTTCTCTGAGACGCCGGTGCGGCTTGCGACGGAGTCTGCTACCCTAAGCGCTTTAAACCCCCGGTTTAATCCCCGGCCTGCGAGGTCTGCACAGTGCTACTGAAGTCGACGCAACATGACGCAGCTTGGGAGATTCTGCTTCCAAAATGCTCCACGATTTCAGTTCGGGTCGAAGGGAACTACCATGGAACTACCATGATCTTAAAAATTCCACAGATTTGTGGACTCTTGATGATAATCTAATTAGTGGCACATAGTGGCACTCTGTTTGGTAATTGCTCAGTTGTGTTTTCGACATGCACAGTTTGCATCATTTTGCTGAATCAGCCTGGGAACACCCACAACATCCCACAGACAAAGTTCCGACATGTTCCAAAAACGTGTCTAAGTGATTCCAAGATATTCCAAGTGGCTCTTCTGCAGCTTCTGCAGCGTCTGCAACCTCTGCCAAAACTCGCACCGCCTCATCTCAATGCTGGGCAGGCAGGGGAGGGGAAGGTGGACCAAGGTGAGATAATCAGTACTCAGAGTAGATAATCTGCCTTCAAGATTGGATACAAGCCAAAAATGGCCAAAACACATCCGCGCCACACCAATTTCACACATTCTTCTTGAGACAAATCAAATCACGCTAAGCCGGCTCTTGAGATATTGAAAAATCATGAAAATAAGTCGAACATTTGCCCCACCATCACTGCAACAAATTCTCATACCACCAAGTCACGCTTGCAAGAAATGCGACTGCGTAGTAGCGTTGCATTGCCGGGCGTGCTCAAACGCTCGTGGTAGGCCGCCTCGAAGAAAACTCTAATTATGCTGGATGCTATTTGAGCCAAACCGCACCATAGTGGAATATCAGTCCACTGCGCAAGATATAGCAGCATGAAGCCAAAGTACGCGAAGTTCATGTTTTCTGATGAAGAGGATGGATATCATGATATCCATGATATCATGCATCGAAACTTTGCATGGCCCAAAACCTCGATCATCGGCCATCTGATCATCTCTGCACCAGGTACTAGTAATGGCTTAGTTGGAAAAAGTTGGTGAACCCTTGACAAGCTGCAGAAGAGTACACCTTCATAACATACCTGCCAAATCTTTGAGGATCACAGCCTGAACAGGATGCTGTACTGCTTTGAAGCTGTTTGTAAGGGTTCCAAAGCACAGCATTGCGGCAGCTGGAACAATTGACAAAGTGCGAAGGATACCTCCATGTAAACAATTGTAAACAATTGTTCCAGCATGCTGAACTCCGTGAAAGTCCGTGAAACACATTGAAACACCATGAGCCTCTCGCCTCCCAAGTGCCACCCTGTGCCACACTGGGGTGCCAGGACTTGGTGCGCCCGGCACGGCCACGACGTTGCGAAGCTGACGCCTTGGAGATCCACGACGTATTCAAAGTGGGCCTTGGCGAAACTCTCGGAATCTTCAAATCTTCTCGGAATCTTCTCGGAATCTTCTCGGAATCTTCTCGGAATCTTCTCGGAATCTTCTTGTCTCGGGACTCGAGCATGGGTGAGGAATGCAGCACTGCATGATCAATGAAACGTGAATCGATCACATAGTATGCTGATGATTGCGAACGCTGCCTGAATTCCGATGTGAATACCAACTTGGATGGTGGATCATGCTGGTAAAGCTGCGCGGAAAGGGGTTTTGAAGCATGACATAGGCTTCAACTTTTGGACGCATGACCCTAAGATATCTACTCAGCGTCTCTTGGTGTAGCATACATCAACACAACTCCAGCTTCGCACAGTGCAGTGAATGAAGGACACTGATGTGGTCGCAATTTCAATTGAAATAATCAAGCAAGTCGTGACTGAACACAATCTGGGTCTGACATGATGCTCTGCAAATACCGTCTGACTTCCTGGGTGGTTTGATGATTTCTCGCCCTTGAAATCCATTTCCTACATTTCCTACCTCCACTCCATTCCACTCCATTCCCCTGTTGGAAGCTGCGAAAAATCTACCCTACCTAAACTACCCCCCCCCCCCCCCTCCTCAAAATAATTTCCAAAATTATTTTCAGGGGGTTGATAGTGTCTTCGGTTGTTATACGAAACAACCCTCTTTAGGGTAAAATAATTTCTTACGATAGACCCCCCCCCTCCCCTTCATCGACGGTGGTGAACCTTCGTAAAAATTATTTCAACCCCTGGGGAGGTAATTATTTTGCCCCCCTCCGGAGACTCCCATCTTTACATATGTATACTTTGGGACCCCCCCCCTACCCGACATGATCGCCTTCGCAGGTGTACCGGGGATATTCCATCCCTTCAAGAAAAACGCGGGGGTATCAACCAGGTTTTGGAATATGTTTAAAGAAAACATGTTGTTGAATAATTTTCCTAAGCAGTGGGCCTACGGATGTGCATATTGGAATATGCGAATTATAATCTAAGCCTTCAAATATACCCTGGAATAACTATGTTTTGACATAACTTCATCTAAATTTTAAATGGTTGAACAAAAAAAGATTTAAAAAAAACACTTGGGGATTCCCGCAAAAAAAATGTTCAACCATCATCTTCATCACTGGGTTCTTTCCTACATATTTCCATTTTTTTTCATACTTCCCCACATTTCTCTCACATTCCCTTCATTTCCTTCCAAAGAACACTCGGTGGGAATGACTGTGAAAGGGAAAGCATTCGGTGTTTATTTTTTTTTCAGCTGGCAGCTGCTCACTTTGATTTTTGAGGAGTGCAGAGTATCTCCAATACCCCTAGAATAATTTCTTCCCTTGGGAAATCCCACGGAATGGTATTCAACCTGGCCCTTTCCTGTAGTGACACTGTAGTGATTTTCCTAACCTGTCATATTTCCCATTATTTCTCCCATATTCCCTTCATTTCCCTCCAAAGAACTCATTTTTGGGAAGCGTTCGGTTTTGATAGGTTTTTCATTTTTTTTCCAGTTTCTGGGCGAGTTGGATGGTTCTGGCAGCTGCTCACTTTGATTTTTGGGAAGGGCAGGATATCTCCACTACCCCTAGAATAATTTCTTCTCTTGGGAAATCCCACAGAATAGTATTCAACCTGGCCCTTTCCTGTAGTGATTTTCCTAACCTGTCATATTTCCCATTATTTCTCCCATATTCCCTTCATTTCCCTCCAACGAACTCTTTTTTGGGAAGCGTTCGGTTTTGATAGGTTTTTCATTTGTTTCCAGTATATGGACGGGTTTGATGGTTCTGGCAGCTGCTCACTTTGATTTTTGAGGAGTGCAGGGTATCTCCAATACCCCTAAAATAATTTCTCCGCTTGGGAAATCCCACAAAATAGTATTCCTTTCCTGTAGTGATTTTCCTAACCTGTCATATTTCCTCTTATTTCTCCCATATTCCCTTCATTTCCCTCCAAAGAACTCTTTTTTGGGAAGCGTTCGGATTTTATAGATTGTTCAATTGTTTCCAGTTTATGGGCGAGTTCGATGGTTCTGGCAGCTGCTCACTTTGAATTTTGGGTGCAAGGCATCTCCAATACCCCTAGAATAATTTCTCCGCTTGGGAAATCGCACAAAATGGTATTCAACTTAACTCTTTGCTATAGTGGTTTTTCTAGCCTTTCATGTTTTTCCCTCTTTCTCCCATATTTCCTTCATTTCCCTCCAAAGAACTTTTTTTGGGAAGCGTTCGGTTTTGATAGGTTTTTCAGTTTTTTTCCAGTTTCTGGGCGAGTTGGATGGTTCTGGCAGCTGCTCACTTTGGTTTTTGAGGAGTGCAGGGTATCTCCAATACCCCTAAAATAATTTTTCCCCGTGGGAAATACCACAAAATAGTATTCAACCTGGCCCTTTCCTGTAGTGATTTTCCTAACCTGTCATATTTCCCATTATTTCTCCCATATTCCCTTCATTTCCCTCCAACGAACTCTTTTTTGGGAAGCGTTCGGTTTTGATAGGTTTTTCATTTGTTTCCAGTATATGGGCGAGTTGGATGGTTCTGGCAGCTTCCCACATTGATTTTTGAGGAATGCAGGGCATCTCCAAGATCCTTTGAATAATTTCTTAAAGAACGAGTTTGGTTTCGAGTTGCAAGTTTTGATGCGTTCTCGCTGCAACTTAATTTTTGGGGGGATTCTGACATGACTACCAGGGAGCACACATGAAACATGATGTTGAATTTATTTGCGTTGTAGGATTCGCAACGCATCAATCCTAAAAAACAAAAAACCTAAAACATAATAAGCCACTTTTGCAAGCCCAACATTGCGCAAGATGGGATATCGCATTGTTCTACATCGTTTCCTCCGAAAGTTACAACACTGCCATCACTGCGAAGAAGTGCTGTGTGAACACAGCCTGCAGAAACTTGAGTGCACGACCAAAGGTGGAATATGTCATCGGATCAAAACAAGGTCAAACACCAAAATTATTTTGAAATATTTTTTTGCTGTGAGAGTGTTTTCGTCAAAATTATTTTGAGGGGGGGGTAACCCATCAAAATAATTTCCAACCAGAAATTATTTTGGCAATGGTTAGAGTCTATAAATCTATACATCCAACATGTTAGATTTTTGAAATTATTTTCAAAAAATTATTTTGGAGGGTAACCCCCCCCTGAAATAATTTCATTAAGGTAGGAGGGATTGCGAAAATCTGCGAAACCAGACACACGTAGAAAGGCATCATAGCTGGTTTCCTGGCGGGCGACCGAAGGGAACATGGAGTCCCACGAGGTGAAAGGGTGAAACCAACAGCGATAACAAAGATACGACATGAATAAAACATGATTGTAACAATGACAATATACCATACTGTAATTACTAATTACCCAACAAAGAAACATATATAGAAACATAACATATCTGTACCACCCAACATACTGCCCCCAAAAAGAATCCGCCGACCCGCATGGGCACCCTTTGAAGAGACCAGTCTTTCCAAACTGATCTTTCATTCTCTTTCATTCCCTTCGCTCTTCGCCTTGGCCCGACCACAATCTATGACCGTATCAATGTCATCGATGGTGATGGCGGTCTCTGCAATGTTCGTGCTCAAAACGATTTTTCTGACCTCGGCAAAGAGTTGTGGAGGCGACCAAGCAGTGATCTGTGACAAGTGCTGGATGCTTCAGTTTTGTGAGGCCTGGCATCGTGGCATCGTGGCATTCTGCTTGTAAAATCCTCTTCACAAGAATTCTCCGAGTGGGGATCAGAGCAGCATCTTGCAAACTGCTAATTACATCATATTACATCCGCACACAGACATAGACACACACACACTAAATATTGCTCAAATGCGCGTTTGAACATAATTGAACATTGTGACATGATGTTTGAACATTGAATAAAAACGTGCTTTCAACACATCGCATCATCGCCCCGTCGCACCATCGTACCACATGCGCGGCACAGCGGGCTGAGGCTTGGACTCCTTGTGGAGGCACTTGGAACACCTTCGTCTGTGGTCAGAAATTGCACCGGTGGATCTTCGAAGCATGCCTTGCTCTGCGTTACTTTCATGTTCTTGATTTGTCATGATTTGTCTGGATCTAAATGATCTAAATACTGAAAAGTGAAGATAGAATCAGATAGAACAGGTGTTGATCACTTCAAGTTGATAATTTACGATTTCCCTTCAGGCCGACTAGACTTGGCCTCTTTCTGCTGTTCCAGGCGGATTTGCGAATGCAACGGCCTAGGCCATCCGCGAACCACATCCGCAGCACCGAATGCACACCACATCGCACCAAATGAAACAGTGGAAACGCCACGAAGACTTACCTGCGAGAACAAAACGATGTATCAGTATCTATATTGTATATACATACTGATCATACTATATATATATACATTGCATGACTACGTCTGGCAGTGGTCGACTCTGAAATGGATGTACATGGATGAACTATTTTGATCACCGTCAATGATCTTGTCATTGCCTCAAATTGAGTGGAAGCATCGTGTGACTAGACCTACCGCAATGCCACTCGTCAATGATTTATAATGATATATAATGATATATAATGATATATAATGATATATAATGATATATAATGATATATATATTCGTTGTATTTATATTGCAAACATTACAAACATAATCTATTGAGTACCAAACCCATGTTGGGATGGTACCCTATGCATCCCTATGCAAGGTTGGCCATGCTTGTCCATGTTTTTTTCTACACCTGTCTTCACCAGGTTGTCGCCAAGGTGCAAAATCCTAAACTGGCCACTGGGCAAAACCTGCATGCTCCAGCGCTGCATGTGGCATGGTCTGGTGCAAAGATTTGCCACGAACAAGTTGCTGTGTACTGGTATCATCTGAACTGAGTTGAACAATCGAGTAATCTGAATGGATGTCCTAAAGAGAACACTGAATAACTCTGACAGTGATTGAGTAAGTTCTCCTACATGGTCAGATCCAATCAACCGACATCAAACATTCATTGTTGAACACAGCAAGAGCATATGGGAAGTCGTATAAGCAGAGCATTGCGAAAGGATGGGAAAGGATGCGAAAGCAATCAGATCATCGGTGATCTAAAGTGATCCAATACGATCCAAGATCCTATCCAGGCAGGGCGGCAGGGCGGCAGAGCGACAGAGCGGCAGGGCGGGCCTTCGTCAATCGTTTAAGCAATCGGTCAATATCATCCCATCCAGGCAGAAAGATCAGAATGCCTGGCAGGACGTCGCAGGACGTCGCAGGACTTGGCACCGTGGCACCGTGGCACCGTTTCGATCCGTGGCTTTGCTCAAAAAAATAATACCAGCAATACCCAGGACTCGAGAAGTCAATCTGGTGGAGGTAAGGCTTCTGACTGACCTTGAGTCAGATGAGTCAGTTCGATATGATAGGTTCAAATGGTTCGAATCAAATGGCTCCTTTGGTCTTCAGCATCTTTCCCAAATCACAACCCAAACTTGAGAAAACAAAGATCATCAAAGATCCTTATAATCCTTGGAATTCCTTGGAAGCCTCGGTGCAGCATGGTCCAGCTGTCACGTTGCTGGTGCTCAATGTTGTCACAGCTAAGGAAGTCGGAAGGACCCCCGTTGGTGCGGCCGTTGACCTGGACGCGGTGAAAGCAAAGAGGATGCCACCCGTTTCGGTCCATGGTCGGATTCACAGACTCTTTGTCCAACGCTTTGCTATTAGCCGTAACGTTGTGAACGTCCTCTCCAAGATGCAAAAGATTGGTTGCAGAAGCCACGCCAAAGGTTCAACATACCATACTGCAGCATCCATAATTAGAACCTTACATTGCCTTACATAACCTTGGTTACATAGACAATTGGTCAAGACAAGAATCAATTGGAGTCTAACCTTACATAAGTTGCAATGAAAAGACGCAGCCACAATCCGTGCTCCCACATGAAACTCGTAAGGCCAACCACAGCTGCGTTCATCCTTGCCTCTTTTGGCTCCTGCTGCAGCACGTCCCTCGGCGCGACACAACTTGAGGCCAGGGGGGTACGAAAGCAAGGCTGTTGTAGGGTTGCAATATCTATTGGGTCCAGCAAGCGAGAACCCCCCAATGCAGTTTTTGAGTGAAAGAAAGACACGATCAAAAAAAATACGCCCCCCAAATGGAAGCCCAAATCTGCATTAGGCGTATGCAAGATGATCAAGGCAATGCAACATCATGATGATGATGATGATGATGCTCATTTGGTGATTTTAGAGTTGATGGTTGATATATGTTGATATACTGACATACTGACCATGACGTCCTGATGAAATACAGAAGAGGACCCTAGACCTGCAGGAAACCAACCAGAGGGGATTGAACCCGGGCCTGCCGTGGGGTCTAACTGGAAAGTTTCAGGGTTTCCAACAGTCCTGGTGCCTGCCTATTCCTTGCTGCACCTTGCTAAAGCAAGAGCAACTTCAGCTAGCACCAGCTAGCTTTCGTGACATGACACAACACGACACAAGCCATCAACATCATCAACATGCATCAACTGTTTCAGCAAAAGACCAGGAGATGTCAGGAGGTCGCTTGAGGTCACTTGGGGCAAAGTTGTTGGTCACCGGAAGCTGAAGCAACTGTGGTCATAGACTCAGTTATCGACAGTCGTGTGTGAGATGAAGCTTCAGATGATTCAAGCTGACTTTGCTTGTTGGAACCAAACAAGTTCTGAGCCCCGCCCAACGATCAACCCAATCAGACCAATCAAGCCAAGCTACAGGAGTGCTTCGATGATTGGAAGGTCATACAACACACCCTGCAGTTGTAACCCGGCTGTGACAGTCGGACTGATCCTGATGACATCTGATGACCCTCATGATTTGAGATGACCCAGCTGAGCCACATCATCCTTGGAGAATGCGTCGTAAACAGTTGTGAACATTTCACGATCCGTACCATTAATCTGACGGTTCCACCTAGTCAATTGTTGGAATCCCTTGTCAAAAAGAACCATTTGATTTTTGGAAAACAAACTTATCATTTGATTTTGTTATTCGATAGCTTGTCATATCTAGCACCAGCACTTCTCCCTCCCGAGAAATGCGAGCGAATGTGGCCTTGGTTTGTTGCAACACATCGTGAAGGAACAGGCCCTGCAAGGGATCTTGGGCAAACGCAGGAGAAGGCGAAGCTAAGAGAATCATTTACATTAACAGCCATTAACAACTGTTGGGGAAGAACAGTCATCTCAGAACATTTGCATTCCTCAAGATCAGCTTGGAAGTGAGCACATAAAAAGGATGGCGATGCATCTGCACTGAAGAAACAACTCCACCTGTTTTGCTCTTCAAAGACTTCTCGACCTGTCTTGAACCTATTACACGCAAGAACAGAATATACATACAGGAATTATATAGATAATGACAAATTATACATATACATACAGTGTATATGTATACATACATATCATATCATATCATATCATATCATAAAAAATAACAAAATACAATATAATATAACAAAATATAATATAATATAATATAATATATTATAATATATTATAATATAATAAAATATAATACAATATTATACTATAATATATTAAAATATATCATAATATTTTATTGAATGAATGAATGAATGAAGGAATGAAGGAATGAAGGAATGAAGGAATGAAGGCATGTAGGAATGAAGGAATGAAGGAATGAATGAATGAATGAATGAATGGATGAATGAATGAATGGATGAATGAATGAATGAATGCATGGATGAATGCATGGATGGATGGATGAATGAATGAATGAATGGATGGATGGATGAATGAACGAACGAATAAATAAACAGATTGATACATAAATAAACAAATAGATAGATAAATAAATAACAATGTATAATATATATATATCTTGCATAATATTAAAGATACTAAAATAGCAACAGCGTGTCTAATCTATGAGCTCGAACGACCCGTGGGTCCTCGTCTTTGCGACGCCCTTCCAAGGATTCCCAAGCATTGGCACCGTAGCCGCAAAGGTGGTCTGGGTGATGGGTTTGACCCACGAGGACCTGATACCTGGAGAGACATCTGAGATGAGAGGCACATGGTGCAACTGCGACTGGACCTAGCTTCGAATGCTTTGGGCTTTGGTCCAAAAATGAAACGCGAAAAACAGATGAACAAAAAATGAACAAATTGGATTCACATTAGAAACTGCCATGGTGTCACATGGGGCCACAAGCCATGGGGCGCTTGAACGACTTCTCGTTGCCCTTGTTGTCCCAACCTCCGTGAACTTCAGGTGTTGCATTCCCGTATCGAAGGTTGTCGAAACGAGAAAACTGTTTCTTTCTATTTCTTTCTTGCACTAAAGAGTTCTGTAAAGCTGCAATGCCAGAAACTGGCTGAAACACTTGCAGTGGCAAAGCATTCAAAATGGAAACCAAAAACACCCAAAACCTACAGATAAACATCCAAAATCCAAATAGGGCCGATCCAGCAAAGCGCCCCAACATGGAAAGTCAAAAATGTCGAAGAGAGTAACCGCAGTAGACGTGTCTGGAAGCCCAGCTTAGATTTGGAACGACAAATTCATCAATCAATGCCATGCATTCGATAAATTAATCTGGCAGGGTTCTCTTACAAAAAATGCTGCTTAAGGAGAACACGTAAGTTCATACATTCAATGTCAATTCAGTATCAATTGATGGAATCTACCTGGTGATTCCATGTCGCTTTGGAGAGATAGAGACAGTATTGAACTCATTGTGGCGTGTCTATGCGTGTCTTATTGTTATTTATTGCTGTCGCACTCAGTCACTCAGGTCATCTCAGGTCCCCTGGCTGCCATAGCCGTAGCCACCCGCGGCAAAGCCGGGACCCAAGTGCTCCACATATCCCTGGGCGGCGCAGGTCTGATCTTGGTCCAGTATCGTGAAACGTCGTGAAACGTCCTGAAATGTGAAATGACAAAGCAATACGGCAATACAAATCAATACAAATCCCTTATCTTGACGACCTGAAGCAAGTTTTGATCAAGAAGTTTTGATCGAATCTATCGAAATGCCATTTCTCATTTCATTTCTGAGCTGAGCGGACCAATTTGTGGAGTTTGGGCGCCAAATCTTCCAAGTAGATCGCCTCCACAGGATGTACCTCACAAGTCTTTCACACATTGTGTGTCGCAGTGCGTCGCAGGAATCTAGGACAGGGCCAAAATGTGTGCACATCTAGCTGCATGTCTAGTCCAAACAATTCTGAAAATTCACATCAGAACTCGTTCACATGTTCTCCAGCTTCTAAGCCAGGCATTATATTATGTGTTGTTATGTTATATATTATATTTGAATATATTTAATATATAGTTATATCGCTAGGGGGCTGACTTTTGATTCATGCGGGACTGCAATCTGCTGGGTTGTTGTGGCGCATGTTTTTCGCAAACTGCGAGCACACAAAATATAGGTATTACATTACCTGCGTCTCATTGCATTTTTGCGCTTACCTAAGACGGTGCCAAAATCACCTTTTGAACCATGTCTTTGACATATTTTCGGTAAATTTCAGTGTTCCGAGCCGACAAATCAAACTTCAACAAACAGTAAAGCCTCAAAGGAACCCTAAAATAACCCAACCCTGAATAAACCTTAAACAAATCCGAAACTTTCCGAAACCAACCCTAAATCACCCATAAGTAACCCTAAATAAACAAACCCTACACAAACCCTAACCAACCCAACCCTGAAGAAAATCTAAACCAACCCTAAGTACTCCCTAAAACATTCTTGACGAAATCCTTACTTAACGTTTAGCTACGAAACCCCCAAAGCAACGATACCCCCAATGAAACTTTGGGCAAACGTTCGCCCCGGAGGGAGTTATTTATAGGGGGTAAAAGTTACATGGCTTGAAGTTTGATCCTCTGCGGCCAGCATTGCTCAGCATCGCTCAGAGCACACAAACCTGCGGCCTTCGCGCCTCTTTTTACCAAGGTGCAAGAGTGGCGCATCATGCACAGTGCATCATGCACACATCCCGCAGAACACAAGCTGGACGAGAAATTAAAGTAAAAATGGGGCGGCTCGCACGTCCCAAATAACTTACGTGTACAAAACATGTTTCTCGAAGTGTGTCTTAATAATTAGTGTTTAAACAGGGGTAATGCACAGCAAAGTCTTGGCTGCTTTAAGCGGAAAATGGAGAAATAAATAGATACCCGCGTGTTGTGGGAGGTCGTTCTTGCTTTCAAGTTTGTGGAAAAACTAGAAGAGCCAAGTAAAGAGCATTCTGTGATTAATGTTGAATATGTTGAATATGTTGAATATCTTGAATGTGTTGAGAATTGTTGATATTTTACGTTGAATATGTTGACTTCGATGTCTGTGTACCGATTTGTGCCCCTTCTGCATCGCAGCTGTCAGGAGCAGATCATAGCAGATCTCAGGTTCGACGGCCCTTGTAGAACTGATCCACGTCTGTGGAGTACCTCGCAGAAACTGCACAACTACCAGCATTCGGAACGATGGAACGATGCCGAAAAATGCCCAAAACCTCCAAGTTCTGGAAAGATATAAAAAGATGATGGAAATATCATGGATAGATAATGCAACGATGATGGTACTTGATAGACCAGGGCCATCGATTGCAATCATATCGCAAGATGGAATCGATGCAATGGCCAAACATGCTGAAACGGGGGGTTCAAATCACACGAGCTTCTGAGATCTTCTGAGATCTTTGAAGCCTGCAGCATGCGCAGCCCTCCGAAACCCTCTGCGCACTGTTGCATCAGCAGTTCTGCCTGAAGCTGACGCCAGGTGTCCTTGGTCCAGCCAAGCCAATTTCTGCAGTGGTCTCCCGATATTTCGGCTTGCAGTGTCAATGAATTGGGATTCGGATGGACTCGGTCTTCAATCTTTTTTTATGCAGTGATATGCAGCGTATTTTTTCCAGAAACGTCCCTCACAATCAACTGCTCTCAATACCAGTGGCCACACATTGAAAGTGTCGGTAAATGGTAATAAACCGAGGTCAACACAATGACACTGACACAACTCTGACAACTCTGACACAACACTAGGAAATTGCAATGCAATGTGACCCCCATGTGACCCGAGCATACTCCATGTGGGGCCGAGCCCAGGATCCGCTGCCACGCCAACCAAGATCAGCAAGGAAGTGCCACCGAAGGAGTTCGGCGTAGACAATTTCCTGACGTCCACAGCTTTGACCGAATTCGATTCGAAATCATCGGCATCGCGCAAGATATTACGTGTCAAACGCGGGCAGCACTTCCTACAATGTACAGAAAATGACACGCGTGTACAATAGTATCATATAATATCATATACGACCTGCACAAGCTGGTGATGCCCCCTTGTGATGCCCAGTTTCACACCTCTTTAAATGACTACTTGATTAAATATGTCGTATTGTTTCATCACCATTCATCACCATTCATCACCTTCCCATTCTTAACATGTCTTAACCAAGCATTCCAAGGGACGTGACTAACTCGATGAGATTAGGCAGCACAAAGAGCAACGCCAAGATAATGGCTCCGAAAATGGAGGTTCGGGACAAAACCTTCACCGCCGCAAGGCGGCAAGGCGGCAAGGCGGCAAGGCAGTGGAGTCACAACTCAAAACCGACAACGTGAGAGGCGTGAGCAGAGCATGGAACAAAATCAGAAGAGTCGCCCGAGTCGCTGGATGGGTCAAGGTCACTGTGAGATATGGACATGACACATTGATTTTGACTTGGAAACTAACAAAAAATCCAACAAAAACGGTTCGATGTACATCATTCTACATCTTGTACATCCATATGGGGAATGCTGCAAAAATATGCAAAAATGCTCTGGCCTCTCTGAGATATTCCTCCGTCTCACGTCCAGGACGCACCTGTGGGATTGCCGCCGCCTGGAAATCCCACGAAGATCTTGTGAAAACGTCTGCAGGTTCCATCAACACCACGCAACACTTTGAAGATCTTTGAAGCTTTTTCCACAGATTCCAAGACACAGAGTGCGAAAAGTTTGACTGAAGTTCAAGTCTGGCAGGAGTTGAAAACAAGAAAGTCGATGAAAATTGTTCTGCAAGGACCTGTGAGTCTATAAGACTATGACTATGATGTGGTCTCTCGAAAGTGGCAATTTTGTGCCCCAAAATTAAGCGAGAAACACCCACACTCCTCATGTTTTTCCTGTGATGCAAAGCTGCAGCTATTTTTGATTTTTTCTGAGTCAATCGAACTACAAGATTTGCGACCGTGCTAGGAGACTCTACTTGGAAGAATTCTGAATGTCAATATTCTGAATAATGTCTTCAAGTCAACTCATTGGCACCCAGGGCATCAACCAAACTTGCCACCAGGGCCTGTTTCCGAAGATTCTGAGCCATATCTTTGGGATCCAAGACTTGGAAGGTGGAGACATAGGAAAACCTCACCGCAGCAAAGTTTTTCAAAACCTCAACATGACTGCCTCCAAGATCAAGGAAATTCCCGGAATCGGCTGGAAAAGCAAAGCTGCAAAACACCAAGCAACAATGCAATCAGCACCATGCTCCTTAGGATGTGGGCAATTCCCATCCAGTGGATTCAGATATGGCCAAGGTAAAAAAGAAATATCTGAGAACGGCTAATTCTTCGACAAAGAGTACACCATGTCTTCGGGAAGAAAACACCAAAATGAATTGCAGCGCTGCTTCCTCTAAAAAATAAGACAACAAGACTTGCGAATATTGACATGTGCCCTAGATATCTTTATTTGCGTGATATGCATATATCAAAAATACACATATTGCATGTAAAAGAACTGCAGTTTCACTGTCGTGCAAATCACTGGTAGCATGTAAGGCTACCATTCCGAGTCCAGCTTTTCCACATCAATTTCTCAATCGATTTTAACATGTAGATGGGTCTCCTTTGGGTCTCCCGAGACAACATCTTTGGCATCTTTAGCACCGAGCTTCACTGGAATGTAGGCATCAGAGCCAGGGAGCAATGATTTGGCCACGCTTTGCAGCCATGGCGCCTGAGCAGCAGTATACGGAACATAAACATCGTTCCACCGAATATATGGATGTATACCGATGATATATGTATGTATATAAACATATATGATTATACGTATACATTATTATAATATTATATATATATATATATTCGTATATGCACATAACTGCGCATACATGCGCATACCTACATCATCCTATATATATATATATTATAATAATGATCCCTACCCCTACAGAGGGGGAGGGCGGGGGGGGACAAAACCAACCTGTCGAATTCCACTTTTTTTTGCTGGAAACCCTGGGATAGTGATCCAACCCCTCGAAGCCTTGGGCACTGGTTAGAAAATACTTCGGAGCTAAGCGCAAGTATGATCACAGCAGCGCAGTTTTTTGGAGGGATGCCATCCCTACACATGTGCTGCTTCAGTCTGACATGTGCTTAGCTCCTCCGGAGCTAAGCGCAAGTATTTAATTTTCACCTGCTTGCCAATGACATGGACTGATGAGGAATATTGATCATTGAGAAAACATGATTGCAATAAAATGGAACTATAAAATGAAATTTCAGTACGACTCCCCCCCCTCAAATTCCATTTTTAAGAGGGTAGGGATTAATAATGTGTATATATATATACATATCATTGTCGCTGATTATCTAATTATACATACGTACGTGTTCGTGCAAATGTATTATGTATCAACTATTTAATTCACATGGTTAGCCACAGTAGATACTTGGCAACATGGATCAGAATGGCGCATGACTGCTGAGATAACTTCTTAGTCCCTACACCCGCGGTTGCTGCCTTGGTGTAGTTCGCAGCCAGCGCTGGCAGCGACAACAGAGAGCCTGTTTCGCAAGAGTTTCCCCCCAGAAATGGTAGGTCCAACGTCTCTAGGAACTCTAGGGTTTTGTACCCTTCAGGCAGCTGCACCACGACATGTCTTTCAATATGTTCAATTGATTTCAATTGGAAGCTTTTCTCATGACGTGATGAGACGCGCGTAGTTGAGAGCATAGCGCAATTCCACTGAGCCTACAAAGATCAAAGGCAGCACGCCAGAAGCGTTCCTTGGCATTCCAGCTCGGGAAAGCGAACCATGGACCAAGTGAATTGGGTTCTGCCCCCCAAGGACTGTGGGTTAAGATACACACCAAGAAAACTGGTACAGTAGTGATTGACGGTCGTTATCTCGACGAACAGGACCTCCTCAAACTGGGGTTCCTACTTGTCTCTCTGCGGCTTCGTTGGTTGGCCCTTTTGTTTAGAAGCATGGTCCGTGATTAGTATCCAAATGCATCCAAACAAAGACTCCCAGACAACCCTGTCCATCTCATTCTCACTCAAAGAATCGAAACCCAACTTTTAATGAATACGCAGTATTGTCTCTCTACATCTCTCCACACTTTTTTTTGCCATCTTGAATCCAGGACTTGTCCCAGTTCGAGCTTCAATTTGATGGGCAAATAACTCTGTCCCGCATCATCTGTGCTACCCTGACCAGATGCCTCGCCAGAATGCAGCTGCGCGAGGATGTTGTTTGATCTGTTTGAAGCTATTCATGTTTCTATTGCAGGGATTGGGGCAGTCGAGGGGTCAAAGGGTCCTCGTCTTGCAAACGCTTGGCGAAGAGGATTGGTATACGACGCTCTGCTTGCAGGACATACCTGCACAAACGGCAACAGAGTCCATGGTTGAAGAAAAGAAATGAATGCCAATGCCAATTGATGCCTAGCATGCTTTGGCATGCTGGAAGTGTAAAGGCTGAAAGGATCTGAACATTTCAAACAATTCAACAATATTCAACAGCAAGGGCTGGATCCTCGTGCTCAATATGTGTATCACTAGCAAGATGCGATGCCCCGAAATTCTTGCATGATCGTGCTCGGTTTCTGACCATGTTGCATATAGCGCACTTGTTTCAACATTTTACTTTCATCCAAATCAGCAATCTAAGCACTGAATGTTTGAACAGGTTTGAACAGGTTTGAACATCCGTAACTTGGCTGTAAGTCTTTGAATGTCTTTGTCCTGTGGCTTGCCCGGACTTGACCAAGTTGCACAAGGCCAAGGATAGTCACTAACAACGTGGCAGCGAAGAGTGCTGCTGCAGCTGCGCCGGTGTCATTGTCAGCGGCCTGGCGAAGCAGCTACGGCAGCTACGGAAAAGAGATGAAAAGAGTAATATGTATTCGAAAATCAACGGCCAAGTCTGGGCCTTCCATGGCTCTGAATTGATGATGTCACGAACACCACAACTTTAAGATAATCATACGCAATGGCAATGTATCATAATTAAAATTACATAAAATTACAATGTATTACTGTAGATTAATTGAAACTACAGATCTTATAAAATATCTTGTATTTAAATCTGGCATACTACACATGCCTTCGAATTGTTGATACATCCTCCATACGTGTCCATGAATCGTATGCGGCAGTGTCACTGCGCCTTGGCTGCTGTAGCACCAATAGTTCGTGGGAGATTGGCCACAATGCCTTGCACTTGTTGCAAGAGCCAGGCAAGTGGAAAAAATGTGAAAAAATGACATGGAAAGGACCCATTCACTCTAGGGGTGAACGCATTCAGTGCAAGGCAATATTATGCCTATGCAAGTAGAAGCATTCATTGCTAAGGTCAAGACTACTGAAGACAAGCAGTGACGAGCCGTTGCCCAACCTCGGTGTAGTTGCAATCTGACCAGATCTGACGAGTCATAAGGTCCTCCCGTGTGTCGGAAATCGCGGTCCTGCCATGCGCTTCCTTGCCAGTGTTGCAACTAGATTATACAGGATTGTACCATAGATATATAATGATATATAGAATATACTAGATTCCCAACCACTCTGGAATCGGTGCACCCAAAATACATCAAAATACAAACTATTGTGGTTTGGGACGAGGGACTTCTGTTCAGTAATCTGATCCGCGATGAAGAGCGTTATCATCGAACCTTGGAGGCCAATGGGAGGAGTTGAAAGTCTTCAGCATCAAGCTTTGTCATGCTCAAGTAGCCAAATCTATCCAAATCTGCCAAATCTGATGTTAGACAGGTAGCCTTAACACAGAATCATCAGGCTTCACTTTCTCCCAGTGCGGCTGTGACAGCTATCATAGGATACCCCAAATATCAGTTTGTTCGAGAATCATGAGAAAATGATAGAAAATGTAACACTGTAAAAAATCAAGGGCGTGCACTTTTGCCAGTGACTTCAACATCTCACTTTCGCGTCGGGCTATGTCGGGCTGGGAAGCCGATGGCAAACTGCAACGTGATCTGCAACGACCAGATTGGCCCGTTGTCGAAGACAAATGGCGACAACGCGGTCGATTGACCTCGGCTCGGACGCTGGGCAAATGGATGATACTCCAATTTCCAGCTTTCGAAAAATCATGAGATCCATCAGGTGGAAGACCCCTACCTTTTTTGCATGAGAAAATCAACAAGACGTCCCTCCGTCCCTCCCAACTACCAACAATGTCTTCAAATGTCTTCAAGATCTTCCTGCCAATCATGAGAACATGGAACAACCTGATGATGGAACAAGGTTCGACACGGCTGATATCCAGCTGAATCGTTGAAACATCTCGAAACATCTCGCAACGTGTTGAAACGTGTTGAAACGTCGAGGCGCCAAAGCCTTGGATCAAGGCGAAGAAAAAGGAGGCGATCCTCGGTTTCACTTGACCAATGCGCCCAACGGCAATGCGCCCAACGCCACTCAAGGAGCGTCACCAACGATTCTCCAAAGGAAGCCACACGTTTCAGATCCGGGAAATCTTGGATTGGCTTTGCAAATCAAAAGTCAATATGAAACGCCTTTTGATGGTCTCTGTCCACCGTCAATGGCACTCTTAAATGATCAAGCTAGCCAATCTAGATCTGTGACCATAGAAACTTTTGAGCTCTCGAATCCAACAAGTCGTAAAATCATCCAAGTCGACAAAACCCTATGTGGATATCTGTATACTATTATACATTCTATATGATAATTGAGAATATATTAGCATATGACTTCAATTGATATCATATTGATATATTGATATTTTACATATTATATAATCTATAAAACACAAATGTTCCGCCAAAAACTCCAGTCATTTCATGTGCTCACCAAGGCGCTTGATGTAATTCTTGTACTTCTCACGCCCAGCTTCACCCTCTTCTCCAGCTGCGAGAGCTTTCAGGGAAGGTGTAATTGTGGTGAGGATCTGAAAAATGATGGAGGAGGTGATGTACGGACCGATGCCTTATTGACGGCTCCCCGTTCCCCCCATCCTGTCGCGATGAAAGACACAGAAATACAGATAAATACACCTATGTGACATCCTCTGTGACATCCTATCATTACGACTGACCAGAAGACACTATGACAATAGGAAAACATGAAAACACTGTGAAGAAGATTATATTGACTATATGAAGATTATGAAGATGATCTGAAGCCGATCTCAAGGGATTGAAGATGTTGAAATATGTTGAAGGTGTGGATGTCTCATGATGTCTCCAAGGCACCCAGGGCGAAGAGACTCACACGGCCCAGGCCGCCACCGAACAGCTGATCAACGAAGCCTAAACCGCCCTGGCCGGACATGGCCAGACTGCGCAAACTGGGAGACAACTCGGAGACAACTCGGAGACAACTTGGAGACAACTTAGTTCATCTGAGGTCGTCTGAGATCCGCAGCCTATGAATTGAAACCACATGTGAAACCACATGTCTTGAGGAAAATTTGGGAGATCCAAAATGTTCTTGAAATTCTATTGCATCATGTGTTTGTGTTTGTCACAAGTGGCCTTCTGCACTGAGACTTGGCTTTCGATTATTTTGAACCATTGAGCCTTGATAAATCCCTGAGGATTTTGCACCGTCACTGGTGAAGCTCTTGCCCGTCAAAGCACTGGCATTTCAATAAAAGGCTGTCATTGGCTACGTAATCATGACATATCATGACTATCCTCCTGCATCAGCCCATGCAATACTTTGGATGCTATATGGGATGCTGAAAACATCTTTGGAATCTATACATCTCAGTTTCACTGTGATGAAAAGTGGTATGTATTTTGGTGATTTTTGGGGTAAATATCCCCTACATCTCCTCAGGAACAGGAAAGGACGCCACTCTGTAACATCGAGATGTGCGCCTGACTGGCTTGTCGTCCAAAGTACTCCTGCAGTGCTGAGATGTGACCGACGACCAGTTGAAAAAGGCCCGGAGAAACATAAGCAAAATATGAGGAATATGCACATTGCCTATGTCACAGAATATCTTTGGATTTCATCAATCAGGATTGTTTTTGTGCACTCTTCGCTTTCAGTTGACATGCGAGCGTTGTGAAGAAAAAGTGCACATTGCGAAGAGCGTTTGTGATTCAACTCCTCGGTGGCATCTACGTCGAATCCATAAAGTGGGATGTAGAAACCAACCTCAGATCGATAGATTCCGATAGATCTTCAGATCGATAGGTCAGTCTTGGCAGACAGGTGATGCTCTATGCCTCGAAACCCTTCCAGGTTACTTGCCTTAATGTGTGCATATCACATGAAATCACGGGGAGAAAAAACATCTGGGCATTTCAAAAAATCAGTGTTTCTGATTCTGTATGTTTCTGTTCCACTGCACAATGTGTATGCTGCAAATTCTACAAGTGTCTTGCCTTGAACATTTTTGACATGCTGCATTCTTGCCTTTATGATGGAAAATAAAAGTGCTGCAGAATACAAGCGCTCCCATCAAGACCCGAATCCAAAATCAGCATCAAGTATGTCAGAGGATGTTAGTGTGTGTCAGTGTCCGTCAGTTTGTCCCAATCCAACAAGTATAAATGTCAGAGTTCCATTTCAATCAGGGTCTTGGCATTTGGCATGAGATTGCCTGAACATACCCAAGTCACTCGTGCCAGAGCCAACAATATAATCACGATGGCGATGCGCTTGGGCAAATCCTAAGACCAAAAGATCCAAAAGCTGTGAAAATCATTGTTATATAAATCTATGCAAATACTGTTATACAATGTTATACATTGTTATACTACTATATGTTATACTGTTCAAAGTTCTCTGCTTTCATAGAACTCAGGATTGCCAAAAAGCGCAGTCGACATGTCAAGCCACCAGGCTTCATTGGGACGCCCATCAAATTATGAACGCGGTAAAGCTGTTGGGATTCCATATCCAGGAGCTACCTCTGAGGATGGGGTACTTGATGGTACTTGGTGATATTACTATTAGTTTTGCACCTTGTCCATCCATACTCAATCCATACTCAGATTGAAGAATCCCTTCTGATGTTCAACACTTGACATTTAAGGGAGGGAAACTTGCATTTATACAGATTTTAAAACAGAGGAAGCATGCAGTCTACTAGCAATCAAGAAAGCACTCTGATTACTCTCCCAAACTCTCCCCAATTCTCCCCACTTTGCAGTCTGGTGTCATGTTTATGTGTAAAGAACAAGTGTCTCCCTTGGTGAGCAACGCCAAATAATTCACCTCGCTCTTTACCTCTGCTCGTCGTACCAAGGCTGTCTCGGATGCAGCTGGACGCTCTCGGCCTGGGAGAAGGATGGAGTAATACAAACTGCCGCACATTTCGTATTTAACATTATTATATTTATTATACATTATTTAGTTATCCTGAATCATGTCTTAGTTGATCATATTTGTATCTTGTATGGAGGTATAACGAGATGTAGTGAGATGTATAGAGGTAGACATCTAGACAACTGGATTCATAGATAGATGTCACATACCCATCTGCACCCATCTTCCACGTACAAGTAGCATTTTAGATTCCTGGATTCTGGACATATCTCAATGCTGTTTCTGCAAACCAGCCTGCTGTCTTCTGCAGTGCATGATTGTCATGATTCTCAACTGCAAACCAAATCTAACAACACCCTCACTTGCCAAATCCATTGGCCGCACCGAGCGCGTTCACACGACACAATGAAGAATCATCCAAACCACGCTCTTTCGGTGGGCTTATGTCATATGTCTCAGATGATCGATTTGGCTCGGAATTCGGATTCTGAATCCTTCTGCTTCCTGATCTTCCTGAGGGCACGGCAAAGTCGCACGCTTGCTCCAGCCAGGAGAGCAGCAACTCCGTAAACCGCCTGGGGAGGCTGCGGAGAAGTATGCAGGACATTATAGGACTACATCGACCACTGAAGTCTGGGGGATCCAAAGTTCCGCAAATCTGTGACATGTCTGTGACATGTCGCATTCGCATCCTCACTCAAGTTGAATATGCACTATACTTTGAACTAGAAATATTATGAAATATTAGAAATTGGATGAAATTGCCATTAGCGTGCGATTTAGTATACAGTTGTAATATGCTGTAATCACGTGTACATAAATGTATATATTTGCATATATCTGCTATGCGCTGTAGATCGGTTCTGGATGTGGTGATTTCTCATGATTTCTCGTCAATGTCACGAAATGTCACGAATCTCGCTCTGATCCCCACCTTGGACGTTGGTGCCTGTGGTGCCTGTGGTGCCTGTGGTGCCTGTGGTGCCGGTGGTTCGACACTCTCCAGGTGCGACAGGTCAGGGCTGACCGTCGGAGTCGGACCAGTCGGACCCGTCGGACCCGTCGGACCTGCACTCGTCACGTGAGGTCACGTGACGTACCGGCGCTGGGAGATACTGTAGCTGGGAGGTTTCCGTATTTCGTGTGGCATGGCTGCGGCATGCATTCCCTGGTATTCGTCACAAATGTTGAGACATCACACAGATGATGGATGCTTCACAGTTCATCTGGTGTGGGAAGGCGGTTGAGGCCAAGCTCTTCACTCACGTAGTTAATTGCTTTGAACTCCCAGCCAAATTGAACAGAAATTGCACCTGCACCGAAACACCTTCTTCAGCTGTTAATTTTGTCTGATTTTCTTAGAGTTTTCTTGCCTCTTCTTGGCGCTATGAAGCTCAAGACGCCGGCACACCAAGCGGCTGCGCACGCGGCCACCAGCGCCAGCCCATGGCGTCGAATGCCCCGCTCGCCCCACGCCATGGCGTCCGTCAGAGCCAGCTGATGGCGAGGGATCCGCATGAAACACATTTTGAAACAAATGTTGAAACATGTGTAATATTGTGTAATCAACTTTATGCAACTTTAATCAGAGTCCAGACATTTCTCCGGTATCTCAGCTGTGTCTCCCATGACAGCCCAAAACAAGAAAATTATGGAACGCCATCTAAGATACAGTAAAACGATGCAAAAAAAGGCAATAACAAAAAAAGGGCATAACAATAACATATATATAATTATATATATATAATTAAATATATAAACACATTCAAGCGTGTCAAACATGTGAAGCAGGAAACTCCAGAGAACAATACAAGTATAAGCTGAACAGAGGCAACTAATAGAATGCTGAGTGGAAGGGCAAATCACAGAGGCAGAAAGTCAGCAACTGAGTTTTACATTAACATCTCAGACATCTCAGTATACAAGTTTTCCGATTCTGGAAGCTTTGGAATGCTCTCCGACAACGCCCTGTAACCATCATGACTGAACCATACTTCTCAACCATTGCTGTGTGAGATGTAGCCATGGCCAAACAGTGTGTTCCCAGAGGCACGCGGCCGTGAATTTGAACTTCTGCACAGCCCTCGAAATACCTCACCGAGTTGCGGCAGACGGACAACCAAAAAAAAACCCACAACTTATATAATCAGAACACAATACAGGGAGGTCCCCGACAACAATGTCAAGAAGGGCAGCCGCTGATCATCAAGTTTTCCAACTCTTGCAAGTCTCCAACTCTGCGTTGCACTCAAGAAACAACAGTGGCAGCTCTCAGTCTTGATAGATTCTTTGGATTTCTTTGGTTCAATGTCGTCAGACTTGAAAGATCGAACCAGTTCTGTTTTGCTTTGCTTGAGGTGTATCACTCTGGCCAAATTCTGAATTAGCATCTTTCGGACATTTTGCATGTCTGTTTTCGTTGCGAGATGTAAAGAGATGTAAAGAGATGTAAAGAGATGTAAAGAGATGTAAAGAGATGTAAAGAGATGTAAAGAGATGTAAAGAGTAGATCGTGTGTGATCTTCGTCTTTTCCCGCCCAAATTGAATCTGGGCCACTTTTGGAAAGTCTCGTGCTGCATAGTGGCGCTCATGAGAATGATGCCTGGGAGGTTTGGCCGCCATCTGGCTCCGTCTCCATGCTCTACAAATGGAAGCCACGGAGAGATGGATCAATTTGTCAATTTAGGTGGTCCTGAGAATGGTTCAAGAAACCTTTGAGGGCATTGAATTAGCCCTTTTGGGCCCTTTTGCCGGTCTGATTGGATTGTTGGAGAATCATCAGAAATCATTGGTACTGCTGAAGATGTGTTTTCGAGGTGTATGATCATGATGATACACTGTGATACACTCCAATGATGCTCAATTTCTTTGGTCGATGCTACCTTCAAACTGGATTTTCAATGGCTTTCCGAAAGTCCGGCATCTCAATCCCGACATATTTAGTGATGAGGTCAACAAAGTGGATGGATAGATCTGAGAGTCCCGACGCAACTCAGGCCTAACAGCATATCGGTCCCGATGCGTCAACCATGAAGACTGAAAGCCTTCACATTGAAGTTTCTATGCTTTCTATATATATATATATAACTTCTTGAGATCATTGTGTCAGCTACAAGACAGCATTGGTGCCTTCTTGCCAAGAGGTCTCGGATAGCGATCAGCAAGAAATCGGTCACCTGCGAAAGCAACGAACTTTCAATTCAAGATGTATGAGTCTCAAGCAAAACCTGGTGCAACCGAAAAGATCTAAAGGAGTCCTTGAGCTACCAATGCAAAAATGTGACATAAAGTGCACAAAATAGCTGCGCTCACATACATCTCTGTGATTTTTGACGTTGCAGAACTCTTGCATCGCACATTTTATTTCAGGCTCGAATCGCATCGAATCGCAAATGGCAGTTCTTTGGCGCTGTGTTGACCTGACTTGGCAGAAGGCATCACAAAAGCGTTGTGTGGTGAAAATATGTGAAAATCATAGTATCCGTCACGCTTGGCACAAGCTTGGCACAGTTCCCTTTCAAAAGCATCGACTCACCATGGCTGAATGCTACGTACTAAAGTTGTTCACAAGTTGGACGGATAGCAGCAAAATGCAGCAAACTGTGGCATATTTCTCGACACAAAAACACTCAGCTCATCTCAGCAGTTGCTTGGCTCAGCGCTGTGAAGCCATGCGCGCCATTTGCATCTGGCAGCTGTGGGCGCAGTGTTCGAAATCTGGGCTTTGACAAGTTTCGTTTGTAATGTTTGATTCATGAAGTCAACGGCACTTTTTTTGCACAGCACAACGTAGCACAACTGAGTACATTATAGTAAGTGGTACGTGAATTCTTTGCTGTGCAGAATTGCACAGAGGCCTCAGAAATGTTTTGCAAAGGAGTATCCCTAGTTCCGAAAATCTGCTCGACTTGCGAAGAGAAGATGCAAGACTCACTTTAAGGGTCGGAAGTAATACTAAGTAATCTCTTCGTCAAGGATGGTCAATGGTGAAAGACTGTCGCAAATCGGCTGGTCATTGCAGACATCCTGATGGCTGAGATGACACGATGGATCCCGGAATCCCATCAGCGGCCTGTACATCAGTCCTGGCGCATCACTAGTGCTACAAACGCCCACGTCTTTTCAGGTGATGAGTTGCTACTGCTAATATTTTTCCAAAATTTTCCAAATCTTATCATCTCGATTCTCGACTATCCTCAAACTTTGAGGATGAAAAGCCTACAGATATCTACAGATGTCGGTTGTTCATGGTTGGTTTGGGTTCTGGGGATCCCGAAAGTGCTGCCAAGTCCTTCAGCCATGCAGATACTTCTTGTATCACTCGCAGCAAGCAAAAGAGTTGCGCCTCGGAAACTCGACATATCTCAGCATGACTACAGGCCGACTACAGAGAGCTACAGGATCAGAAGAAATCACATGTATTCGCCAGTTCTGCATTGGATGGGTGAAGACTTAGCAATGTATCATATCCACACACAATATAATAATATGGGCCACTGCAGAAAAGAAAGGCCGGATGCAGGATCATTGATGCTGATGTAAATCCGTAAAGTAGATTCAGATGTTATATAATCGATTATTATTGATTGTATAAATTGCACTGACAAGACCCGGCTAGATCAACGCTTGACTTCAACTTGAACAATTTGAACAATTTGAACTTATGTTTGCAGTTTGCGCAAGATCACGCCGACATACGCCGACATACGCCGACATATGCCGACCTCATGGCTGAAAGCCTCTCGTGCCAGTGCAGCGCCATGAGCAGCAATGACACGCGCCTCTGGGCTGAGTGAAGCTGTCGGAAGAATTCGGAGTTCGATCTGGGATGATTTGACAAAGTTTATGCATAATTTGTGTAATTTATGTAATTTATGAACTTATCACATGATGTATCCGGGACGTTTTGGATCATGTTTTGACACCACAAGAGGTTGGCAAAGTGGTCGTGTGAGCGTACCCCTGCATTGCAAAACATCGACTTGGGCATTTTTTGACGGTCGTTTTGTACCGCGACCTTCAAAGCAAACGAAAAGACTACAGGCTTCTCCTTTTCACCAGTTTGCAATCTGAGGATTTTTTTACCGGCTCAAGTATTGGCTTTGCTAGGCAGAATGGGTGGGCTCTGCAGAGATCCAAACCACGAAGAATCGGATCAAGGATGGATGGGGAAGGTCAAGACTTTGTCACTTTGTTCACTTTGTTCACTTTGTCAAGGTCCAAGTTTCCATGAACTTTGAGGGTCTTGAAATGGTCTTGGGTCTTGCCTCCTCGTCGTGTGCTTTGGCCCAGGCAACTCCTTGGAGTTTGGAATGTGCTCCAATGGCTCTAAGATATTGACTGCTGAGTAACAAGAGCAATCATTCAGCTATGGGTCATGCAGAGATCCTGTCCAAAAGAGAAGGATTCAATCATTGAAGGGCTTCAATTCTTCAAGGGATCGAATTGTTGACGGACTTTAATTATTGCAGGGATTCAAATTTTGAAGGGCTTCAACCATTGAAAAGCTTCAATTATTGAAGGACCTGGCCATTCGGCCACTCCGGAAAAAGAGAATGAGAGTTGCAGTCTCAAAGTTATAGTGATGGTCACTTTTCGTCCGCTAGCCAAATGGTCAGGGCACACCTGGGTTTTGTTCCATTGCCGACCAATGCGGCTGCTAGTAGCTTCCAATCCGGTCATGGGGTTCGCCCCTTCATTCCAAGCTCGAGATCCTATGTTCCCGCTTCGGCCAGTGGCCGATAGGGGAACATTGATACCGAGAGAATTTGGACAGATAGAAAGATAGATAGAAAGAAAGATAGATAAGGATAGGATAGGATAGGATAGGATAGGAAAGGATAGGATAGGATAGGATAAGATAAGATAAGATAGATAGAGAGAGAGAGATAGAGAGATAGAGAGATAGAGAGATAGAGAGATAGAGAGATAGATAGATAGACAGACAGACAGACACACAGACACACACACAGACAAACAGATAGATAGATGGACAGATGGACAAATAGACAGATAGGGCAGATAGGGCAGATAGGGCAGATAGGGCAGATAGGGCAGATAGGACGGATAGGATGGATAGGATGGATAGGATAGATATAGGTTTGCAATTCCACATTCCAGATAATTCCACTTGCTTCCAGATTCCAGTTCATTCCAAATCATTTCTGTCCACCACTGTCCATCTGTCCGTTTTTACATCTTAATCATCTTATGTCCAGCGTCGCTCGAGGGCATCCGACAAGTCTGGCTTCAAAGGGATGAAGTGCTGCCAAGGCTGTAGCCTAGCACGAATAGATTGGAGATAGGAACTCAAAAAGTGCAGCATGTAGCGAGATTTCAGATGACATGCTCCACATGCTCCACATCCAAGGTACCAATTGTGCAACTTGAGGGATTCGTACGTTCCTTGGGTACTTGGGTACTTGGGTACTTGGGTACGCACAAGATGTCGCCAAGGGACGCCCGAAGCCCACAACCTCTCAACATGCCACTGCTGGGCAAAAAGAGTAATGAGTTCCCTGTCCTGGGCGTCGACTTCCGGTGAAATTCGACCTAAGGGATATCATAGGTCATTCATTTACATAATATATATATATACACATATATATATAACTATATATATATAATTATATATACACATTTATATATAAATAAATAAGCCAATCTAGATCAATCTAAATCAGAGGCATTGCCTACTGCAATCTACTGCGTACAAACGGCTCAAGAATGGTTGCACTTGATTCCTTGATTCTGAATGGTTCATGCCTTTCATCGATGTCGCATCGCATTCAACGACTCCCTAGATATCTACTTTCCCGCGTCGAGCAACGCCATCCAATAGATGCGATCGCTGTCATCTGTAACCAACAAATACTTGGCCCGAAACCTCAGCGGTCCATTGCAGTCAGCCAGTGCTGAAATATGCCACTACCGTGGGCTCAAACAAAATGCGACTACTATCAACTAAAACCAACTACTGCCAAACACTAAAGCCACTAGTGGGAAAGTGCTCAATGCATATCGATCTGTGCAAAATTTCATACAATATGAGGCTGTCCTTTTCAAGGAGTCACGTGCGGACAATTGACATCTTGATACTCGGATATACTTGGCAAACTCAATGTCTATCAGTTTCTGCTTGATAGTCGTGTCTTCACCTGAGGCTTGGAACTGCCGCTCCATCAACTGTGGCCTCAATTTCTGTCCAGATCAAATACAAGATTCATCAAGTTTCCAGAATATTCTTAAAAAAATGCATGCCAGACAAATACACACAAATACATAGAAAATCCTAGAAATACTGGATTCCAATGGATTCCAAACATGTCTTCGCTGCGAGGGACTCATCAAGATCGAGCCATCCACGTCGGGTCAACAGTGCTGCCACCTGACACACTGTTCACACTGCAACTGGGCTGTTTCAAAACGCATCAGGCAGAAGGGTTGAGGCGGTTGAGGCGGTTGAGGCGGTTGAGGCGGTTGAGGCGGTTGAGGCGGTTGAGGTAGTGTAACGCGGTTCTGAAATCAGACCTGGCTCATTCACGGCAAAGTTGAAAGAAGAAAATTGGAACTCTGGGCGTTGCAGTTCATTGACCTGAAGCTGTAAAGACATGGAAACTGGGTTCTCGCCTCGTCGGACATGCCAACACGGCTGGAAAACTTGATGTCCGTGTAGCCTGCTCAGACATGAACATATATGAACATGAACAAAATGATGAAGCTTGGACTGCTTGGACTGCTTGGATTTGGAAAACATTGGAAAACATTGGAAAACCATGGTCAAATATGGTCAACCCGGCACTGCCCGGTGCCTGGTGCCCTGCTGATCCCTGCACCTGGTGGTGCAAAGCTCTGCAACAAGACGGCGCGGCCACGAAGACCCAAGTGCCAATGCCTCGCTCAGAGGGATTCGCTCGGGTATTAGCTGATGATATGCTGATGATTAGCATTGCTCCATTGCTCATCATTGCTCATCATTGAACTCCAGCGCCTCGAGTTGACTCAAAAGTTGACTCACCTCTGTAACAACCTCAAACATCTCAAGCCTCAAATTTCCATCACTGATGCATGCCCGTGCTGCATATTCATCTTAAGCTAGGAAAAGCATGGAAGGCCTACAACACGAGTTGGCCAATAAAGTTGATTCTGAATAGGCCATCCACGAGCTCTTTGAAAGACAGCTCAGCTAAAGTTTACTAAAGTTGTTTGAATTGGTTTGGAAGCCAAAAACAAGACAGGTGGTTTCGTAGACTGCAGCCAGAGAAAGTCACAAGAACAATTCTCCACACATTTTGAGAGTTTGTGTATTCTGTTCTTGGCAGAAAAAGAGAGGTTTGTTCTTGGCATTTCTCGGCATTCTTTGATCTTTAAGAGTTTGCCCACGGTGATGGATGTGATGGATGGACTTTGTTCAACTTTGTTCATGGAGCTCATGGCCTATTTTTCCGAGATGCGTAAGGTTCCACTGTTTGCCTCTGACCTCCTGCAGGAGTCGGACGACTCTGTGGCGACTAGACATGATGCGACAGTCAACGCAGGGTCACAGGAAAGAATGAAAAAGACACCCCAAAACATAACACAAGTGGCTTTCAACAAGAATGCAAAGAAATTCAAAAGAGGAAACTGGTTAAAGATGGTTAAAGATGGTTAAAGCCTCTTTTCGAGCATTTGCCTTTTCTCCAAAGTTTCACAATTCCATCAAGTGCGACTCCTGCAGAGCGCTGCAGTCGCTGGCACCATCTGTCAAGCCGCGGCGTTGAACCCAGGAGCATGCACACATCATCAATATGACCATAGTCATATAATGTCATATAGTCAACATATTATAGTGAATATATATATATATTACTATTATTATATTCATACTTATTCATATATATTCAGTATGGCTCAGGAACGAACCTTGAACATCCTTGAACCAGGAACCGAACCGTTAAGGAAGCGGCAGGGTAGGAACCGGCAGGAACCAAACCGCCGCTTGCTCCAACGCAAACGGAGTGGAACAGAACCGGTTCCGTACTTTCAATGTTATTGCAAGGTAATAACATCATGGAAATTTCTGAACTCACTCTTAGAATCTTCATATAGAGAAACCACCTCTCTGTCATAGCTCCTGAACAAGAAGCAAGGATGGCCTTTTTCATTGTTTAGGCCTGTATTACCTGTCAGCATCTACAGCACCAGCTGATTCATCAGCCGTTAACAGTATCTAAACATATCCAAACATCAACCAAACAGTGTCCCTCCAAATCTTCAAGAAGAAAGTTCCAGCAAATGCCATATTTGCAGCTTACGTGAATTTGTAGCTGTTGGCCTGTTGGCAAACCGTTTCCAGTTTCCAGCTTCCCAACTCTCAGATCCAAGACTATATGCCACATGGTTTAAAGTTTACGTAAACTATCGATCACAAATCATCCACATGATCCTTCGTCAAACTGAGAGTCATTGTGAGACCAACGGTTTTGAGCTACCGATTCTGGGCCCCAGAGCCATGTGGACAAATCCACCTGAGAAGCTGGAATGATTCAAAAATCCACCTCATGTCCGTGCCTGATCGCATCCATGAACTCATTTGAGATTGATCAGATTGACATTGATTGACATAGATTGACAATGGTCATTGATGGTCTATGCTGACTGCTTGTGGAACTTCTGCTCCCAGCGTCCCAGTCAGCATTTTTCAGAATTGGAAATTTCGAGCTGAACACCAGGTCACCAAAGGCCACCAGTCTCGTACGGACAACGACTACACTGACTACATGACTGGGCTGTCCGACTTTCCAGTCATCCCGCCGCGCCAAAACAGGACTTCTTCTTTGGAGCTCCATGGATACCTTGCCAGATGCATCCAACAGGATCCAACAGGATCCACATGAAACGACTGAGAGATTTCGATTCAGATCCATTCATTCAGGTTGCTTCTTGAAACCAGAAACCGGAACATGATCTTTGAAGATGCTACAACATGTTCACAAAGTTACTCAATAGAAAGGAGAGAGCAAAGATTGAAGAACGTTCAATGGGAGTGAACGTTGACTGATCAAATAGCACTAATCTCCATCATTGAAAGTCACAATTGCCTGTATATCACTCGAAACACACTGCCAGCTGCATGGAAGCTGTCTTGCACCTCATGACAGCACCTCAGCCACCATGACACCATAAGGATCCATAAGGCTCAATACCGGGGTTCATCATGGCCGACTGAGACCAAAACGACACAATTGGAAAATATCTTCTCAAATACACTGATAGTATTCTCAAATATTATCAATATGCAAAGACGCAACAAAGCCGGTGTTGCTTTCCATCACCAGACTACGGTACAGTATCATTTCCGTACAGTAATCGACTGCAGTAAACGAGAGTTAACAAAGGTTTCTCTATCGATGTGGTCAAAACATTGCAAACCTTACAATTTTCATTTGAAATGCAATTCAAGTGGAACTCCAACCTGCAGGACAGTCTGTAAAAAGTGGCATGGACACCAAGACAGAATCTTCCTTGAAATAATCCAAAAAGGCCCAGTTCAACAATCTTGGATAAGCTTGAACATGTGAAACATGTGAAACATGTGAAACATGTAAAACATGTGAAACATGTGAAACATGTGAAACGGCTTGCAAACACTTCATAACAACACGACCGACAAGAAGACTCTTGCCATGGCACTTCGAACTTTGTAGTTCATCACACGACCCCAAATTCCGAGAAGAAACCTCAGGGGCACAGAGTACAGTGGAGTGTGGATGCCACAGTGTTGAGGCAATTGACACTCGAGCAGTTCGAGCTCCAGTTTCGAATTCTACGCAACGCTGATGACACTGTGACAAAATGCCTAGAAGATCCTAGATGTTTCAACCCACATAGTGAAGAGGAGCCTTGACCTCAGAGTTCACCTGTTTCGGAGATCTGACCCCGAAGCCCAGTTGACCCAATCCCTCGTATGGTTCTGGAACCATGCCGTTGCTGTGGCCAAAACTTTTTGTTGGCCAATCGTCACGCAAAATGATCTTGTTCGCATCGTAAAGATCGTAAAGCCAGTGTCCCATTTGTGGGGCATGGCACTGCGAACCAGCTGGAGTTTGGAACTCTGGTGAGCCTTCCATGCACAGAATGGACGCTTTGTTCAGCTGTGTTCTAAGTACCAACTCAGCACCAGAGCTCCAAAATGCTACAAAGCAATGAGAGCCTGGACCAAGTGAATTTTGAAATGCTGGCTGTACTCCCCTGTCTGTTTTGGGATATTGCCTGGAGCTGCTATTCCAGTGGAAAGCAAGACATTCTTCTGTAAACAGCATTTCAAACCAGTTGCTTAAGCCCAGCTTGGTCAGCTCAGCTGATGGTCTGGCTTTCTGGAAATTGTGGCAAGTTCGGTCTCTGCAAAATGAAATAACAAGTCGCTACAGCCGCGCTCTTCAAAGGGCCAAAGCTGATCGACCATGGATTTCCCCAGTTGCCAATCACAACTGAAGTTCCCTGCTAAGGTCTCTTGTTCCTTGCGCAAATGTCTTGGTAGTGTTCGAAAAAACTGTCAAACACATCTGGATTTGCTCCCGATTTTGCACACACCAAATCCGCACATCCAACATCTGAAGATACGGGGGATGGGGACAAAGCATTGCAAACCTATTGCAAAGATTTGCAAAGTGGTACTGGTATGATGATTATGATGGGTCCTTTTTTGTACTTCAGAATCACCCAACATACTGTATTTTACATGTCCGACTGCCATCAGGAACTAAGCCACAGGGCGCAGAAAAGTTGCCCAACAAGGCGTTGACCACTGCAAGATCACGCATGAATCTCAGTATGCAGAGTCTGGCAAATGGTTGCTGAATGTTGCTGATGGGACAAGATTTGGGCCATTTCTAGAACTTAAATGAAGACAATTGAAAACATACGAAAACTCTGGAGTCCTGATGAGTCCTGGACATGGACAGCCACAACTTTTCGGATGGAACTCTTGTCCCATGACAAGGGATGACAAGGGTCAAAGGGTCAAGGCGGCCAAAACTTAAGTGTTCTCGGACTAGACAGGCCTCTTGGTACCCGACTGGATCTAGTTAGTTGGGGTCTGAATGATATCGAGATGACCAAATGTCCAAAGACCCGCAGATCTTCAAAGCACATTCCAAGATTTTCCAAGCACATCGGTTTTTTCGATTCTTTGGGCTCTGAACCTCACAAGATTTATGAGGGCATCACGAGGCAAGGGTGGCCAAGGCACCACAATTTCCTCCTTGAAGGAAACCACGACAATTTCACCAGCCGTCAAGGTGAAGGGCGTTTGGACCTGACATGGCACCAGAAGCACCAGAAGCACCGGAAGCACCGGAAGCACCGGAAGCTTGTGCAGGCAGTTGAGGGTGCTTTCATCATTTCAGTATGGCTTTCAGTATAGATCAGTCGTTTCCTGAGATGTTGGAAGACTTGAAAATCTCGCTGAGGTGGATCTTTTCAGTAATGGGTGATAATTACCATCATAGTAAACAATTAAGACTAACAAAAAATGACACATACTCAATGATCAACGATATACTGTAGTAAGTAACATATAGTTGTACGAGTTATGTACATAACATGCACAACAATGAGAAAACAAAATAATGCAACTCATCACAGAATTCACACAGTACATAGACATAGACATACTTTGATCATCTTTTGATCATCTTTCATATATGGTGAAAATATGGTGATTTGGTGGCTATTTGCTGCGCGGCCTTTGGGAGCAGTATTTAGCTCAGCCACTTCCACCACTCCCACTCGACGGCTGTCGGTAGAGAAAAGCACGGAGACTTGTCCACTTGCCTGGAAGGAGGAAGGATCTGGAAGGATCTGGAAGGATCTGGAAAGGTTCAACACATTTCCTCTGCAAAGACCTCGGGTTCCCTCGGGTTCCTCAGTTCCTCAGAGATCTGAGCTTTTCAATTTTTATTTCTGGGACCTGGAAGAACTGTACATTCAACCTTCGCAAGCATACAATGATCAGCAATGTTTATTCTTACGATGTACATCTATGATAATCATCTATGACAATCATCCATGACAATCATCTATGATAATATATACATTACATATCATCATATATATATATTATATATATTATATAATATGACAATCTATGTACTGTATTTGTGCTGTATTCACTGTATTCTTCGCTGCACATCCAACTGGCGGCAGCAGCAGCAGCAGCAGCAATTCCTCGGGTCGCATGGAGATTTGCCTTCAGCAGGGAGAGCAGGTCGAAACTCAAGGAATAGGCCCTGGCAGCGACTGTACCGAAGGATTCTCTATCTTGACACAGTTAATGTCACTCTGTTTTCTTAACATGTTGCAACACATGTCTTAACATGTCTTAACCCCCTGGCAGAGTGACCTGAGAAAAATATGTTGCATAGCTGGCATAGCTTGAAGCTGCAGGGATTCAAAATGATCCAGAGTGGTCCGAGAAATACCAAGCAATGAAGGGGATGAAGGGGACGTGTATGACTGAATGATTCGTTTCCCAAGTCCAGAATAACACTTGAGCAAGCATCCTTCATCAATCATCTTCAATCTTCATGTTCAATTTTCATATTCAAAGATTCTTCATAACAGTTTTTCAATATGTTCAAATCTGTTTTTTTTCAGTTTTCTTCTCCAACTATGTCCAACTCACCAACGCGCCAGGGAGACGAGTTCCAGTTCGCCACTGTGGCTGCAGACTGGCAAGAATTCGACAAGAAATCAAGGCACTGGGTGTGACACGTCATTCGCACTGGTTTATCATGTTTGCATAGATGTTCTCGTAGTGCGAACATGGAAATCGAATGAAATCAAATGAAATTGAGAAATTGAAGGGCCACATGAATGTCAAGCAAACTTTCAATGAGAACTTTGCACATGTTCAAATTTCGATTGATCGCATACGTCACTTGCAACCCCAAGCAGGAGCCAATTTGCCAAATCAATGTGGCGAGGAAACGGATGCACCCATCCGGTATTTCACTAGCCTTGGTGCAGGGAATGTCTCATGAACGGCTGGAATTTCTCCCAAACATAGACCCCAAAGAGGAAGGCTATCCACACGTGGCCACATGGTTGCCGTGAATTCCAATTTCGCTGCAAGTGTTTCCAAAGAATAATAGTATATCAAATGCTATCGCAACGATATCTCTGGCACAGATTCGCATTTTCAGAGTTCAGGGAACCCTACATGCTTCACACCCAACAATTTCCAGGACTGAGTTTTTGGGAGTTGCATGACAACTAGTTGAATACCGATGTTGACCAACTGGGGGAAAGGGTGACATGAACATGGTGAACATGGACATGAACTGTTGGCCCATCTGAATTTTCAGATCCGAGATGATCCGAGCAACACCAAGTCCTTCTGCAAGTCTCCGCTCAGATCTCCTGCGGGTGACAGTGATGTGAGCCTTCAGGGTCCCATCAAGACAGGTCCTGATTTTGGGCAGCTATAAGATGCTATAAGCACCAAAAATATGATTTATTTTCCTCATTTTTCTTCATATTGAATCCAAATTGGGACGTAGACCTAGATATCCTAGATTACACTAGATGGAAGTCCTCATACTTGTGAGGTCCAGTTCTCACCATATCCAGCTCTCACCATATCCGATTCAAACACACTAGAAAATTGATGGCATTTTGATGGGATTCTAATATGCTGAATGCAGATTGCCTAGAGACCTGGCAGGATTTGAGCCCGTGACCATCTGCTTCCAACACCGCTTCAAAATGCCCCGTGTGCTTGGGGGGGTGTTCGAGTGAAAAATCACTGTGCTCTGTATTGGACTCAGGCCTGCCCCTCCCCTTGCTGAAGCAAGAGTAACTCCAGCTAGCTACCGCTAGCTTTCGTGACTTTGGCGCAATCCTGCCTTTTAAACTCAAACCATATTTGATTCAGGGCAATTGAATGACCGGCATGGAATGGCATGGTTGTAGTTCATGCTTCGCCCACCTTCCCAATTCAGCTGCCACACAAAAAGAACACAACTGGTCCGGCCCTACTTTGCACCTACGCAAGGCTGCGCGGTCCTTGAACTGCTGTGATCTTTCCTCGTTGGTCCCAGTGGGCTTCGTTTCCCATTGTAACATTTGCTGGACTTGTGGCCACTCGGTATTTCACAAGTAAAGTGGTCACAGGAACGATTGGTTCAAAGATTTCAAAGGAAACTGAAACAGAGATATCAGAGCACTCGCTGGGCTCGTGCTCAATATTTGTCCAGAACATGACACAAATATCCATACAACGTCGTACAACCCTTGTGCAAACCCACAGCAGCGATATTTAATATTCCATTGGCTGGGAAAACGCAGGATGACTGATGTCAGACATGAAATTTAGGGGTCTGTATCCAGACTACAAGTTGTCATTTTGGGAGTGCTCCATCAATGCTCCATCAATGCTCGGGTCAGTTGCAATGTTCAACATCCTTAGACGACCAAACGGTTTGGGGAAACACAAAATGACACCGTGGCCCAGGCCCAGTTGAATGCCGCCAATATTGTCAATGCCGCCATGCTTCCCAGGGCCATGTCAGGATTTGCCTTCCTCCATGCCAAGGTGCGCTTCCTGGGGAAAAAATGGCACGTCACCGCACGTCCGAAGTCCCGAGCTATGCAAGAAACATCAAGAAAACCTCCACACAACGACAGTATCGATAAACTCCCCAGCAATCAAGTAACATGATGTAAAATGATGTAAAATGATGTAACATGATGTAACATCTTGATATTTCATGGACACCTGGTGTGAAACCGTGATAAACCTGGTGTGAAGGCAACAAAAACATGGATCGCTTAGCTCCAGCAAATTGAATCTTGAGTTCAGTATATCTTGTCCACCGGAACAAATGAACAACAAATAGGAGCCTATAGAAGCCATTTACTCTCAATGATGACATCACGTAACTTTTTCATAGGAATCCTCAACACCATGCGATGTTTAGTAAAGGGAACCATACTAGTAGCATTGGATCGGAATTCGGACTTGCCATGAATTACGATGAACTGCCAACTTCATTTCATGAAAAAAAACTGTACAACGGTTATTAAATAAATAAATAAATAAACGTCAATTCCACCACCCGCGACTTCGCCAAAATTCATGATGGACACAGGCGATGTGGCAGACTGTCCTTCCTTGGTTTCAAGGCTTTAACAATCCAGGACAAACTCATGACAGGGCATTCGTGTTGACAATGACATGCTTGCGTGATGCGCTCAACATTCATCTGCTGCACAACGAGCCCAGACTGTCTCAATGTAGGGCTACAAGATGTTACACGTGCCTCGTCTTGTCAATGTGTGTGAACAAACATTTGAACATGTTTAACACATTCATACACTGTATACACATTCTATACACATTCTATACACACATTCTATAATATTCTATATATCATTTCTCTGTCAGGCCGCTAAAAAGAGTGGGCATCTCTGCTGATGGAGGCACTGCCGTTCTGCCAGGAGGCGGTCTCAACGTTCACGGTGACATGGTCGGGATTGACCTGAAAGATCTGAAAGGTCAGCGGTGCGTAGTTTGAGGATGTTCGCGTAGCAAGGGTTGAAATGACATGAAATGACCATCCAAACCCCTCTTAAAATTTCTATATTCTGAAACGATGTATAGTATACATCCTAAATGCAGCCTTTCCATGAACTTGTTTTTGAACTTTCATGTTTGAGACTTCCACATGCGCAGCATCAAAGAGTGTACAGTCTTGCTTTCCATGGTGGTACAGCACTCTGTCTCATTCCCGCGAACCAAGATCAGGGCGTGATTTATGACACGTCACCAGAAAACATTCAAATATATCCAAATCTCAGATCCAGACAGGAAGCCAAGTGCTGGAATTGCTGGAGAAGCCTGCCTGCGCACCTGTAGCTGTAGATATTGACAATGCGGATAGCACAGGCAGTGGCTCAATTTGGATCTGTAGATATTCATGATGTTCTTACCGATTCTTGCTCGGGATTGTGGAGCCAGGGCAGCTAGGGGCTCATTACATTGCCCTTGACCAATGCCTTTCAGCTCCCTCCTGCTCCAAGGGAAGCAAACGCTGAGCAGGAAAACCAGTGAGTGCACTGCTATGGAATGCCGGAAAAACAAAGCAAAACGCCGCACTATCCTCGTCGTCATAATCATCACGCATATCTATTACCGACACGATCTATTCACTCCACCTATCAGGACCTATCCTTTACAATCCTCATTGGAGGTATAGGTACGAGATGGTACGAGTACGAGTATCATGTCGGCTTGATTTCCCGTCGCATGTGACAAGGTTCCGCCCAGCCTGGAGTCCATTGCATGGGAGTTCGCTCCGGATCTCGTCCATCAACGAAGAACGTCTTGGGATTCTTCAAACACATCGGGTCTCGACACAGCGAGTACCTCGATACTTATCGACGTCAGCGACTCTGTGCCTGGAATGTCTGTTATGTCTCACGGTCTCACCTTGAAAAACCCTCCCAGAAAACGGTTTCGGTTTCGTCCACGTGGCACATCCTATTAGACCGAGGGGCGGAATGTAGAGATCCCGCATGGCTATCTCATCGCCTGCACGCAAAAAGTGCCATTGCAAATAACATATTAAGATATTAATGATTATTAAGTGTATATCAACTTTCAACGGTATATGAGATGGATTTCAATTGGATTCAAACGCCATGATGCTCAATATAGCACATATATGAATGTATGATATGATATATATATAATATTCATATCATTTCATATCAGACGATGTCAAAAATAAAGGAATTTCTTAAAGGAACAGTCGGGATTGGTCTCAGGCCGCCTTGGTAGATCACTGGCGTGCCAGGGAGGAGATTGAAGAAGTTGTACACCTCGAAGCGAATTTGAAAAGTCTGGACAAACTTTGACGACGTGGGAGACAGTATGGGACTGCATCGAGAGAACTTCTGTGAATAGCTCAATGCTAGGCAAATTTAGGCAGTGTGGATTGAGATCAAACTGCTTTAAAATCCCGGAAACCGTCTTATGCAGTTTGATTGAAATGTGTCAAAGATGTGAAGTATACACAGAATATATCCATATATATCCAAGAATTACATGTAGCCCAAGTCTCTTATCACTGACTTATCACCTTTGAGATGAAATTGCGATGAATTGCGGGAAAGCCACTGTACTGGCCAGGCGGGTGTCATTGTGTAGTCTTTCCATCAGGCGATGGTTGTCCTGGCGCTGAATCCCACTTGGCCAAAAAATCATTGGCAGCGCCAAAAATCAATCGTGATTTAATCAGCATGTTTTGGTGACAAACATGCTCAGTACGCTCATTATGCTCGAATGGAACCGAATGGATCTGATGGTCAACTCGTTGGCAAAGAAACCAATGCCATTTCCTTGCTTGGAAATGTCTTGATAAAACCAGACTAAGTTGTGGCAGCTCAACACACCAGGACTATGCAACAGGGATGAGTGTCAAGCTTGCTGCCCAGCGGCGTGGTTGCCCAATACCCAGTTGCCGTGACACCAGTCCTGCCAAATTTTGCAGAGACGGACGAAATCTTGTGGGTTTTCAGCTGTGCGACCCAGGATTTGAGCTCGGCAACCTTCCTAAGCCTCGATAGCCACCCCCTGGTCCGGCAACGCGCTTGCATAGCTCGCCACTTCGTTGCGCACCACCTCAAGCACATCTGCCGAGGGACAACTAGGGACAACTGCAGAAAGTGAATTCTCCCTGTGATCCCTTCCCTGTAACGTGTGTAATACATTAATTTAAGTAATACATTTAAGTAATACATTTAAGTAATACATTTAAGTAATACATTTGTAATGTATTTCAACTATTTCCATTCTGAAACCGGAGATCTCTGGAGGTCTCTGGGAGGTCTCTCGGTTTTCATTCGAGGTCTCGGTCGTTTTTCGGTTTGAGGCGCCGAGGCATTGCGCAGGTCATTGGGCGATCCAAAGTCTTGACCCAGGATCTGTGCCATGTGAGTCTTCACACATCACAGTAACACGACCGATAGAAAACTTCTCAAAATTCTGCAAGCTGCATTCAATTCATTTCGATTCGTAGTATTTTGGATCTCTTTGGTGATCATCGCTGATGTTGCTTGAACTATGCATACAGCCTGGAAATTGAAGGGCACGTTGAACTCGGGTTTGAATGGTGTGCCTGAGGGAGCTCAAAGTCTCTGCCGCTCATCCCTGAATTCTGCCTATGATTTCATACATAAATTAGTATATTATATTTGTTAGTAGTATTAGGTAGGAGTATACCATAATTTCACCAAAGCACCGTAGTATTTCATCAAATCGTCCAGTGGTGCATAGATCTCTCCGAACATGACCCGATCGTCAAACTCATCCACCTCAGCCATGAAAATATCAAGGATCGGGGCCGGCTGCAAGTAGAGGTGGAGTTCACCCGTATAGCGAAGACAACTGACATGTCATGGCGAATGTGAAGATTGTGTCTCGAAGCCAAGGCACAGTCTGTCGCCAGCCCTGGATGATCTCATGGTTCTGCGGATCGTTCTGCGTGTAAGTGTGATTCCTGATGGATCTGAGACAGCTGGGTACGGTAAGTGGAATTGTGCCACATCGAAATCCAAATGACATCATGATTGATTCGCCCCTCGGCCAAAGCACATGCAGAAATAGGCAAACTTTGTCTTGGCGCAGGTTGCGTTGAAGGCCTGCACTGCGCAGGTTTGGTAAGAACAAGGACCGGTCAGAAATTGGCCGGGGGAGGTGATATCATCACTACATATCCGCTGGGTTTTGAGTCAACACGTTTTGGGATAGGGACTATGGGGACTATATAGGGACTATATGGGGACTATATGGGGACTATATGGGGACTATGGTTTGGACGAATCTTAACAGTTCAGTTCAGCACTTCATAGCAGCCCCCCTGGATCTGGAACTTTCTCGAACTGTTCCACCTTTGGACTGGCAATATATTTGGGCAAATCCATTGAGCCTAGCTGGACGCAAGAAACACTCTCTGCCATCCCACCGAAGTTGAGTTGTGCCAAGACTAAACTTCAAAATATC